TAGCCATCTTTCCAGCTGCAATGGTGAGAGCTGCCAATGCCCGGATTACGGACTCACCTAGTAACAGCCTGTCCTGATCACCTCTGGGTCTGACCAGCTTGTCACAGGGCAGGCAGTCAAACCAAGGCCCAGGGCTGCCTAGGAGTCTGCAGATGCTAACAGGTCTGGCGTGCCTTCTCTTTTCTTTCAGATCCCCTCACACTCCCTGATCCCATCTTTTAGGAAGGGACCCCACTAAAGGAATCCTCAGTGGCAGAATGGATCCATATGGCATGACAGCCCTGCAGAGAGTTTCGGAGAAAATGTCTGGAAAATGGGAAGCTGGGTGGCAGTTCTGCAGAGAAAGAGGAGGAAGAGGAGAAGTACCAACAGGAGGTGGTCTTCTGTTTCCATGTTCACACCTGGTGAGTGGCTGCTGGTATCAGGGTAGCTGAATGCCCTCCAATGCACACCTAGAATAACTGAATGCTTCAGCATGGCTTTGACATGACCAAGGACAGGGTCAGACCTGGCCTTGCTTCTTCTCTGAGAGACTCGCCATCTTCACTGTAGCCAGAACTTCCCTGAGGCACTCATGGCCCAAATCTTCCATCCCAGCAAAGACTCTTAGTTGAAGAGACTGAATAAAAGTGTTACAATTAGACAAAAAGGGAACACATGATTCATTCCTGCTTTTAACACAATCCTTTGAAGATGTCACCACAATTTGGATCTGGCTATATTTTAAGTTCATTTACAAGTAGACTAGTTCTCAACTAAAAATAACCCTGTGTGTTATACACTTCGACAGCTGCCTGGATTTTCCTCTGAAGGAAACAAGATTCTATAGTTCCCTCATAAACCAGCACAGATTTATTTTAACCCATTCGATGAAGAAATAACCCACCCTTACAACCCACTGGTGGCTCTGCCTTTTCAAAACACTTCAGTTTCTCCTCAGAGCAGCCTTATGAGTGAGGCAGTTCATTATTGGTATCCCTGCTTTACAGTTGAGTAAACTGAGTGTCACTAATAGTGGCCTGCCAGGTTATATATGGAGTCCTGGTGTGGGGTTGCAGGATCAGCACTGAACTGCTAACCACAAGGTCAGTGGTTCAAACTCACCAGCTGTTCCTTGGAAACCCTACACAGGGTCGCCATGAATTGGAACCAACTCGATGGCACTTAACAACAACAATAACAACAAAGGTTATAATGGAATTCATAGCTAGATCAGATCTTGATTCCTAGTCTATTGCTTTTTTTGTTTGTTTGTTAACTTGAAAAGTTGTCTGTAACAGGGTTTCAGATTTTGCCTTCAATTACCTAATAAGTTGACTTAAACTGAAACCGTGCCTGAATTAACTTATTCCAGTAATTTGGATTCGGCCCAACTCAATGTAAGCAAAGATACCAAAAGTCCTTCATTTTCTTTATGAATCTGATTAAAATTAAGTTTATACTATTGGAACATGACATACAGAATTTAGTTTCCAAACTAAGAAAGCAGTTACAATTTAATGTTTCAAAATCCTTGCTTGGCAATAATTCCTATTATGGAACAAGTTAAAGTCTACATCAATATTATACACACTACTCAAATATTTTAGCAAGATTCCAGTTTGTATGGCTGCAAGAATCAGAGAACTGTCCTACAGATTTCAAAATGGAAACTAGGAGGAGGATCATGTTGTTGTTAGCTGCTGTCAAATCTGACTCATGGCAACTCTCTATATATCAGAGTAGAACTGTGCTCTATACAGTTTTCAGGGTTGGGACCTTTTGGAAGCAGATCGCCAGGCTTGTCTTCCGAGGAACCTTTGGGTGGGTTTGAATCACCAACCTCCTTTTGGCCACTTGTTGCTAAGTGCTGCTGAGTTGGTTCCGACTCATAGCGATCCTTTATAGGATTTCCGCACTGTGGTTGATAGGTTTGAATCACTGACTTTGTGATTCAAGCTGACCTTGTGGTCCAGTGTTTTATCCTATAGCGCTACACCAGGACTGCAGAAGTCAAGTCCTTAACTGTATGCACCACCCAGAGAGGATTATGGGAACGAAATCGATAAAGCAAACTTAGATCCTAAAACAATTCCATCTTAATTTGAGCCTGTTTAAATGAGCAAGCATCTCAAAGCAACCTGTCTTAGTCAACTCATTAGGCTTAGAGCTATTCCCATGGCGTTAGGCACAGTCCTGAAAGCTATGTATTAGACAACTTTGCTTTCACTACAACAAAAAACTATTTTGCCTTCAACATAACTGCCATTAAAAGCTAGAAGTAAGTAACAATCAACTCATACAGTTCTTCTTACCTCTTTTCTTTTGTATTTCCGGAATTCATACTGAGCGCTTTCCAGACTGTGGTTTTAGACATTTCATCAGAAATATTAATGTCAGAGGGGTCACATCTGAAACCAATATTTCGAACCGTTAATCGTCGGACATACAAATAAAGTACATATTTCAGTCTGTAATGACCACCACCCGACCAGAAGGGAAAAAATCAGTTCTGCAGGAGCCCAGCTAACAGCTCTCAGGATAGCTAGCTCCCAGAATGGCAAGAGGAAAGGTGGCCCATGGGATGGTACAAGGCTGCACTTGGGATCTCACCCCACCACAATGCCAGAATGTTTATATAATATCAAAGCACTAAACTCCTTGGCATTTTTTGCAAGTTTTACCTGAAATTGTTCTTGCCAGGACTACTTAATAACTTCCTGCTCTCTAAGGGGAACTTGTCTCCCCCCATTTCTAACATTTTCTCAGCCTCCTGGAAGAAAAGAAGACAGTATTATCGGCCCGTTCTCCTTCTTCCATCATAATTCCTCCTTAATTTTCTCTCACATTTAATGTAAGAGTAGAATTATGGCCTTTCATAAATATGACTCATTACAAAAAGAATCAACCAGATATGTGTACTTGTAGAAAAGTATTGAAAAAAATAATAATAATAATCTTTATTGGATTAAGCCTTTAGATCCAACTAATCATATATTGGAAATACAGGGGACAGAGAACATGTTAAGGGACACATTCAACAAGAATCCAAATGGTGGGAAATTCTATTGGTCAAAGAAGTCCAAAAACAACAAGAAAAAGACCTATGAAATTTAATTACCTACTTGTAATGTAAAAATTTACAGCTTCAGAAACCCTATACAGGGTCACTATAAGTCAGAACCAACTCCACAGCACATAACCACCACAACCATACATATATGTTTACATATGTATATATATATATTAAAAAATCCATTCTCTTTTATTCCATTTCTCCACCAACTTCTTGAAGCCCACATGTATACAGTTGTGTCTCCTTCATGAGAATGTAAGCTCCATGAAGTCAGGACTCTATCTTGTATCGTACTGTGTTCCCGGAACAATGACGAGAGCAGAATAGTCATTCAATAAATATTTGAAAAAGAAAGGAGTGAAGGAAGTAAGAAAGGAAGAGAGATAGGGAGGCAGATAGGAAGGAAATGAAAAGCAATTGCAATCTCACCAGACAGAGAGCGAGCCACAATAAACATTTTGATCTATTTTCTTCCAATCTTTTTTCTAACATACATATGTGTAAAACTGAGATTTTTTACTGAATATTCTATTTTCTATCTTATGTTTTTCACATAAAATGTCATGAATACTTTCATGTATCATTAGATAATCTTTAAATTTTGATTTTTAAATCGTTACATGATATATACCATTGTAATAGTCGAGGGGCTTCAACAAGTTCATTATTATCATCAAAAAATTCCATTATCTTTCCATTCCATTTTTCATAAACTTTTTGAAGGCCCCCCCCTTGTATTTACTCTAATTTCCCTTTTCTGTTATTGTTATTTTATAAACACCATTTTATAACCACATTGCTGGTTATAGCTTTAAAGTAAATCTAAAAATTATAGAGTGGCTAGGCCAAAGGACATTTTTAAGATTCTACTGCTAAACTGTTCTCTGAAAAGATTTAGTCAACTTCTCCTCCCACTTGCAGGGGATGAGAAAGCCCATTTCAATCACAGTCTTGCCAACACAAGTTATTTTTACTTTTAAACAATCTTTGCCAATTTGAAAAGTGAAAAACTCAAGTCTTGTTTATATTTTCATATTTTTTATATTAGTGGGAATGAACTTTTATCATAAGCTAACTAGCTGTTTGTATTTCTTCTTTTGTAAATTATCTAGTATTAAACTATTGTTCATTTTTATTGCATTATTATTTATTAATTTATAAAGATTATGCTTAAAGAACATTAACTTGTCTGGTATTTTAACTTTTTATTTATAAAGATTTTGGAAGCCTGAAACCTTTCAATTTTGTGTAGAAAACTGATCAATTTTCTAAGATTTCTCCCATTGCCTCTTCTATGTTTATAATCATTAAAACTGATTTAATAATACAAAGTTTTTTAAAAATTCAATGTATTAGAAAAAAATTTTTAAAATATATTTCAAAGGACATTAATTGGAGCATTAACTATCTTTGGAAACATTTCCCTGCTCATTCATTTCTTGTTCTTGCTCATTTTGCTTCCAATCTTCCATTCTTTGCATGTATAGGCCATTTACTGTGGGTCCATGATGTGGAGGGCAAAATGCCAAGTGCTGAGGGAAATGAAAAAGGACAAAAAGGGCTATGTAAAAAAAAAAAAAAAAAAAAAGTTCTATGCAAGTTATCATTGCACTATACAAACCACAACACCATCTGCAATTAGATATATAACAAATACTCTCTGAAAATAGTGGGTTTAATACACTTGTCCAGTGCGACCTTTTTGAAGGACATGAGCCATCAGATCTGATGATCAGTGTAGATTCTGTGTTTATATTCTAGGTATGAATCTGGTGAGTAGATTGTAGACAAAGAAAAAAACCCTGATCAAATCTAATAATGAAAGGCAGACAGGGACAAGAATCCTCATTCCATTCTCAACTGAGAACCTCTTTGGGGTGATCTTCCTAATTCCTAAATATAACCCTTGGGATCCCAGACATGCTGACTTTTTGTGTAGCCCTTCCTATGTTCTGTAATTTGAGGCTGCCTCAAAGTGTACAGTTGGTGCAAGAAGGAGTATGACCTCTTCCTCCTTGGCCTTCTTTTTGGCATCATCCAACTTCTTCTTTTTGCTTTCAGGCATGAGATCATCTAACCAGCTCAGCTCGCGCTTAGAGAAGCAGAGATCCATGACTTTTCTTACAAAGACTAAGGCCAAAACCTGAAGAAAAAAGAAAGAAAGAGGGTTAAAGTGGTACATTTCCTCCCTGGATTTAGAACAAAGTCTTATTTTCGTAGTAGACTAGAACATTCCAAGCAAAATCAAATTCATAATAATCATATTGTTGTTGTTTAGTGCCACTGAATTGGTTCTGATTCATAGAGACCCTGTATAGGATTTCCGAGGAGCAGCTGGTGAGTTTGAACCAGTGACTTTGCAGTTAGCAGTTCACTGTTTCACCTACAGCTCCACACCAGGACTCCAATAATCATAATTGTTGTTGTTGTTGTTAAGTGCCATCAAGTTGGTTCTGACCCATAGTAACCTTGTATAGGGTTTTCAAGGAGTGGCTGGTGGGTTTGAACTGCTGACTTTGAGGTTCAAACTGACCTTGCAGTCCAGCGCATTATCCTGCACCCTATCAGTACTAGCATAGTGGTTAACAATTGGGCTGCAAACCTCAAGGTTGGCAGTTCGAAACAACCAGCTGTTCTGCGGGAGAAAGATGAGGCTTTCTGCTCCCGTAAAGATTTACAGCCTTGGAAACCCTGTACAGGGTCGCTATGAGTCCGAACCAACTCCATGGCACATAACAACAATCATCATAATGGTGGTGGTTATGTGCGTGGAGTCGGTTCTGATTCATAGTGACCCCGTACAGGGTTTCTGAGGCTGTAAATCTTTCCGGAAGCAGAAAGCCTCATCTTTCCCCCATGGAGTGACTGGTCGATTCCAACTCCTGAGCTTGCAGTTAGCAGCCCAGCTTATAACCTACTACAATACCAGGACTCCTTAATAATCATAATTGTTGCCATTTATTAAAAGCCCACTTAGGTAAGTTAATATCATCACAACAACCCTGCAATTTAAATGCTAATTTAATTCCCTCAGTGAGATGAGAAACCCCTCATCTGCAAGAAGACCCTAACATTTGCCTTCCCTGGCCTGGGTTCAGCACTGGGGTGAAAAGTCTTTATACTTGTACTGCTCTGGTGAGGACTGTCATGCTTAACCATACCTTGTCATGGGATGAGGGGATCTTAAAGAACCATCTTCATTTTCTCTGTTCCTCTGCTTTTTTTTTTTTTTTTTTTTTCTCCCAAAACCTTGCTTTGTGCCTGCATCATACATTACTAGAGATTTTTTTTATCTCTGTCCTCTAGCCTGGCCTTATGTTTATTTTATAGATGAGGAAACTGAGGCCCAGTAAGAGGAGGTAACTTAAAACCTGACAGCTAACTTCTTCAATAGATGGAGCCTGTCTTCAGGACAGATTCACATTCAGGCTGTTTCAACTCGGCTCCACTTCCTTCTTATAAGGGTCACTTAGTCAAAGGGGAGCTAGGAATAACCACAGAATGACCTGTTCACCAGCTACATCTGGTGGCTGGACAAGGAATAAGGAAAATTAAGTCTATTAAATTCAATCATATTTCTCCCTAATTTTAACGAAGATTTTCCTAATAAATCCAAAATTTGTAGGATCCCTTTGAAGCAAACCCAGGAACTTGTTATTTCTTTAACCAAATACTCAGTTCCTGAACATGTCAGAATACTCAACTGTAGAGCCCTGCATGTATTGTGACCAAAATTGAGAAACCCATCAGTAAGGTGTGGAAGTGAGGAATTAAGAAACAAGAAATCCCCCTCCAACTTCCTCATTCTTTAATATTCTCCTAGTAAGATAGAGTTTCAAAAGAGGATGTGGAATGAGGGATATCATTGCTGACATCAGATGGAAAAAGCAGAGAATACCAGAAAGATGTTTACTTGTGCTATATTGACTATGCAAAGGCTTTCAATTGTGTGGATCATGACAAGCAATGGACAACATTGCGATGAACGAGTATTCTGAACACTTCATTGTGCTCATGAGAAACCTGTCCATAGACCAAGAGGCAGTTGTTTGAACAGAAAACAAGGGAACACTGAATGGTTTAAAATTAGGAAAAGTGTGTGCCAGGGGGTTGTGTTGTTCTTTAATTATACTTATTCAGTCTGTATGCTAAGCAAATAATCAGAGAAGCTGGATTGATTATATGAAGAAAAATGTGGCATCAAGATTGGAGGAAGACTCATTAACAACCTGTGATATGCAAATGATACAAACCTTGCTTGCTGAAAGCCAAGAGGACTTAAAATACTTATTGATAAAGATCAAAGAGCACAGCCTTCAGTATGGGTTACACCTCAATGTAAAGAATACAAAAATCCTCACTACTGGACGAATAAACAACATCCATATAAATGGAGAAAAGATTGAAATTGTCAATGACTTCATTTTACTTGGATCAACCATCAACACTCATGGGAAGCAGAAGTCAGGAAGTCAAATGACATATTGCATTGGGCAAATCTACTACACAAGACCTCTTTAAAGTGTTGAAGAGCAAAAGATGTCAGCTTGAGTACCAAGGTATACCTGACACAGCCAGGATATTTTCAATAACCTCAGATGCATGCGAAAACTAGACAGTGAGTAAGGAAGACGGTAGAAGAATTGATGCATTTGAGTTATGGTGCTGGAGGAGAACATTAAAAGTACCATGGACTGACAAAAGAACAGACATCTGTGTTGGAAGAAGTACAGCCAGAGTGCTCCTTGGAAGTCAGGATTGGCCAGACTTCATCTTTCATACTGTGGACATATTGTCAGGAGGGACCAGTCACTGGACATATTGTCAGGAGGGACCAGTCACTTTACCAAACACATGTTTGGTAAAGTGGAGTGTTGGAGAAAAAGAGTAAGCCCCCCCCCCCCAACGAGATGGACTGGCAAAGCGGCAGCATCAGTGGGCTCAGATGTGACAAGGACAGTGTTTCATTCTGTTGTGTATAGGATCACGATCAACTCGATGGCATCTAACAACAACAACAAGAAGACAAAGTTCCAAAAGTACCTACACAAACAACCATTATCCTCATTGTCATGTCTCTCTAGCGGTCTGATGATGACCACTTTCAAATAGTCCATTGATCTCTCAGAGATAAGCATCCTTCAGACACTAGTAAGTTAGAGCAAAAGGCCAGCATCCTCATGACACAGGTAAATTAGAGAGGAAGACATCAAGAATGTCATCACCACCTGAGGTTTTAAGAAACAGCTTGTCTGTCACCTATTGGACCACACACAGTTCAGCTTCCCTGGTCCCCTTTTCAAAGCATTTGCTTCAGGTAGAAAAGAGACAAAGATGCCCCAGTCACTTTTTAATGTTTGTTCCCTCTATCCCAGCAGCTTAGAAAGTATATCTTCACCACTTTAGGCACTTCTGATTGCCATGAATCGTCAATTGATACTAAGCTGTTTTTAAGTACTATGCAACTTATTACAAACATGAAGAATTTTCTCCATGTCAGATTCACTAAGAAAAATAATCTGGTAGCTTTGAAAAATAAATATGGCAAATTGCTGCATGTCTACATCCCAACCTCCAGGTCCCAAAGAAAATGCTGCTGTTAATAAGCTGCAAAGACAAAATATAATAATCAAAACTCTCACCATCATTGGAAAGACAATGGCTGCTGGTGAGGCCTTGATGACCCAAAGCAGGACAAGGCAGGTCAGCTGGATGAGGGTGAAGAGGTGCACTTTGCGTAGTGGCACATGACGCAGGTAGATGAAGTCTGGCTGGTGTTTTGCAGGCATCCCAAAGAGCTTCAGGCGGTCAAAGAACTGAAAGGGGGAGCCAACATGTGTTATTAGAAGGTTTCCTGGGTCAGAAGCCTGATTAGGCCCTTCACTTCCAGTCTATCACCTGCTCTGAGAGACAGTGACTTGTTTCCACTGAACACAAACAGAATTTCTCAGAGATCAATAATTTGGCCATGGCTGGTAAGTGGCGGAGTCAGTATTTTAATCCATTTTTTCTAATTCTAGGTTCCAAGTTCTTTCCCTAACTTGTACTGTGACCCGTGAGAAGAGTCTTTCTTAAAGAGTACTGAAAACAAAACAAGCCAATTGTATCTGTCTTCTTCTTACCAAAATCAAATGATCTTACTTGTTCTCTGAGGATTTGGGAGCTTTTCATTGATTATTTAGAGTGAAAAAGAACAAAAGAAACCTTGCAACATTCTGGATCTAAAAACTATGACTATGCTTATATTATAAAAGGAAAACAGTGACAAACAAGAGATTAAGTAAATTACTCAGGGTCATATTAGAAGTCAGTGTGTAAGAAGGAATGATGCTGGACATTCATAAACACAAAAAAGGACCAGTCACCAACAAGAGAGAAGCTAACTTCTCATATCATCTGAGGTCCTCAAAGTTATTAGTGACAGGCTCCTGATTGTCTCTGCTCCAGGGACTCAGGAGGAGGAAGGGGTTGTTGTATGACAGGAAGTGACATTTGTTTACCGGGAATAACTCCCACTGCTCCCCTAGTCTCTTTATCAATAAACTCCGAAGTCAAATCCTCTCTCTCTCTCTCTAGCCTGGCACTACAACTGGTACTGTCTCATTTGTTGGGAAGGAAGCCAATTTAGTTCTTGACTGACCTTTCAGATTCCAGTTTACTAGCACCTCGAAAGCACCTGGTTTCCTAAATGTCAACAATTTTCTGTTAAGTAAATAATGACTGGAACAACACCAGCAAGCCAGGTCACCCCAGGAATCTCTGTACCCTTGTGCTAACATGACTATATTTTGGCCATATTCAAAGCAGTGTATGAAATAGCTAGACTGGGAAACAGTTTCCCAAGAATGGTTTGTGCTACCCTTGGATAACCACACCTCCCGGCCTGGACAAGTGAGCTACTCGTGAGAATACACTGTCCTTGTTGAACCATACAATACCTGAATTCCCTGGAGTGAAGAGACCCCCATATAGAGGAAGACTCCATAGAGTACTGGCATCGGAATAAACTAGAGACAGAAGGGCGGAAGAAACAGAAATTAAATTTTACATCATGCATCACATACTTTAGACAATATAAAACTTTCCATCTCTAACAAAGTCACAAAATAGCTATATAAATGCATTTGTTTCTATTGCCTTTGAGTCACTGAGAAGTAGATGCAGAGAGAGAAGCTGACAATGATAAAAACCATTTCATCCTGAAATAATCACACTGAAAAGTATAACCTGGACCTGGTTAAACCACAGCCCTAACACCTTGCCCACTGGCTCTTTTTCCTCCATTGGGCCTGAAAAGACATAGAGAGACATCTGTCTTTTTACAGAACTGACACCTTTTTTATCTTTTGTAATCACACAATCAGCTCTTTGTGGATTTGATGTATTTTCACATACACTAAAATGGTTTCCTTGTTTACTGACCAGGGACTTGAGAAGTGGGAGGTTACCTTGTCCCAGAGGGAATCATCTGAGGGGAAATGCTAATAATATTATATTGCACTTGGCTAGATAGATATATAAATGCAGCACTTGAATATAACTTTTCAAATCCTTTCATTAGTCTGTTCTTACATAAATTTTCAGAGCAGCATCAGGAAGCTATGAAATGAGGTCTATAGAAGCAACACAAAGAAAGTCTCAGAACTGAAGACTAAGCTTGACTTGCTTTTTTTCAGAGGCTAAAGAATATTTCCGGAGTCCTGGTGTGGTGCTGTGGGTTAATGCACCAGACTGCAAGGTTGGCAGCTCAAGCTCACCAGCTGCTGCTCAGAAACCCTATACAGGGTCGCTATGGGTCAGAATAGATTTGACGGCACTTAACAACAACAACAACAAAGAATATTTCCAAACATAATTCCTCCCAAAATTAGAAAATCCCTGTTAGATTTTATATTGCTCCAGCTCTAGAGTGATCAGCCCTCGCAATTTGGTGAAATCCTTATTTGTAGAACTTTTTGTAGTGTCCTAAAAGAGTCTGAGATGGTTGCCAAAAAGTCAGGCAATACCCCACCACCATGCTTTCATGGTTACAATTCTGGAGGAACAGCAACTTTTGGTTTCTTCCACTTGGCACCATGACCTGAGGCGAGGAGATCAGGGCTGCATGCAGAGAATGGAGAGGTGACAAGGTTAAGTAGGAAGTACGGGGACAGGAAGGTAGTTCAATTTTTTTTAAATATCCCTCTCACCAAAGAAGACGGTTTGCAAAGCAAGCTACAGTGGTTGAAGAGTCACCAAAAAGAGGAATCCTTGGGCCCTGGAAATACACCCCTTTTCCCCAGGTGCAGGTCTTAGTCTCACAAAATAGTTTTGCTCATGTTCAAGATAGCTTTCATCTTTAAAAACAAAATTCCCACATCTCTTGGCAGACACTGCTCCTTTTTCTGTTCTTTTTTTCTGCTCATATACTCCTTACGTCTTCATATCCTATCCACTCTTCATCCCCTTGTAATCTGGCTTCTTCACTGTCAGTTCATTGAATCTGCTCTTGTCAAGTCACACTGGATCTCTATGTTGCCAACTCCAATGGCCTCTGTTTCATCTCTATCTTTCTAGATCACTTATAGCCAATCTCTCTGTGAAACAGCTACTCTCACTTCACTTCCCTGACACCACACCCTCTGTTTCCCTTATCAATCCTTCTGAGTCGAGTCGATCCATTCTCTAAGTATTAGAACTCCTCAGACTGATCTTCTCTCTTATCCCTCTCCCCTCTTATATCTACCTTTCTCCTTCAGCAATCTCAACTACTCCCTTGACTTTCAATATCACCCATATGTTGTTGACTCCCAAGTTCAAAGCTTTCCTATATCTTCTTTACTCAGATGTGTCCAGATAGCCAACTAAAAATCCAATCAAGCCTCACCCCTCACAAAATCACATCCTCCTTCATGCAGTTCTCTTGTCATGACATATGTTTTACACTCGACCCAGATGGTCAAGACAGGAACTTAGGAAACAGCCTTCATCTTTTCATTTTCTTCACCCCACTCTATATCCACTTAACTTCTCCCTACTACTACTACCTTCATAATCCCTACTATCCATCTTCCTTATCGTCTTGCACCTTTAATAGCTTAACTGGTCTCCCTACTTCTATTCTTCCCAAACCCTGAAAACTTACTCTTGAGACAGGAGGCAAGAGTGATCTTTTTTAAAAATACTAATTGGTTCATGACGCTCTCCTATGAAAATCCCTCAAAGGTACCTTTACTATGGTGGACCAGGTCCTCCATGACCCACCCCTGCCCACTATCTAATCTCATCTCATTGTGCTCTTGCTGTAACTAAACAGCCTTGAACCAAGTCAATTCTGACTCACAGCAAACTTATAAAACAGAGCAGAACTGCTTCATAGGGTTTCCAAGGCTATAAATCTTTATGGAAGCAGATGGCTTATCTTTCTCCTGTAGAGCAGCTGGTGGCTTTGAACAACCAACCTTTCAATCAGCAGTCCAATGCTTAATTCGCTGCACCACCAGGGCCCCTTTCCCTTGTGCCATGTGGCCTTGATATTTCCTAGAACACATGTACTCCTTTCTACCTCAGGGCCTGACTAGACTGCTTTTCTTTCATTACTTCATGTCCTTCCCTTCCATCCACAGTGTGGCTATCTCCATTTCTTCTGAAATGCCATCCCCTTAGAGAGACCCCCTTTGTTGCTGCCACTGTGCCAATCCATCTTGTTGGAGATCTCCCTCTTTTTTACTGCCCCTCCACTTTACCAAGCATGATGTTCTTTCTCCAGGGACTGGTCCCTTCTGATAGTATGTCTGAAGTATGAGAGACAATGTCTGGCCATCTTGGCTTCTAAGGAGCATTCTGGTTATACTTCTCCAACAGAGATTTATTTCTTTTTCTGGTAACCCATAGTACCTTTAATATTCTTCTCTAACACCATAACTCAAATGCATCAATTCTTTAGTCTTCCTTATTCATAGTGACCCCTATTCTCTATACCCAGGGAAAGTCCCTGGGAGATGCAAATGGTTAAGCTCTAGCCTACTAACTGAAAGGTTGACAGTTCAAACCCACCCAAAGATACCTTACACATTCCTGGTCATCTGTTTCTGAAAGGTCACAGCCTGTGGAGCACAGTTCTACCTGAAAACACAGGTCACCATGAGTTAAGTCTCCACATGACGGCAATTACTTTGGTTGGGCTTTGGCTACTATTTGTAGCCTCATAGAGTCCTACAGATTTCCTTTCTATTACTTATCACATTCTGTCATTACCACTGGACTGCTAGCCACAAAGGTAAATGTTCAAACCCACGAGTTGTTCCTTGGAAAGCTATTATGGGGTTGCTATGAGTTGAAGACAACTCAATGGCACTTAATAACAACAGCAAAAATTATCATGAGCTCTTGTGTGGCACTGTAGGATAAATACTGGACTGCTAAGGTTATGAATCAGGCTGTTAACCTCAAGGTCGGCAGTTCGAAACTACCAGCTGTTCTGTGGGAGAAAAATGAGGCTTTCTGCTCCCGTGAAGATTTACAGCCTTAGAAACCCTGTACAGGGTCGCTATGAGTCAGAACCGACTCCACAGCACATTACAACAGCCATGCTAACTACAGGTTGTCGGTTCAAACTCACCAGCCACTCTCAGAAACCCTATACAGGGTTGCTATGAGAACCAACTCAACGTCACACACAACAACAAAAACAAAATAAGTATCCCGTTTGTTTTTGTTAACTACTATTATCTGTCTTGCTCCACTAGAATAAACTTTTTGAGGACAGGGATTTCTGGTTTGGGTGTGTGTCTGTTTGTTGTATTACTAGCAACTAGAAGGATGCCTGGCACAAATCAGGCACTTGTTATTTGCTGAGCAAGTGAATTAATGATTACCTTTAAGACGGTCGTCATGAAGACTGAGCAACCCATCAGCACAAAGATCATAAGACCTGTCACTCTCTGCTCTCGGATGCCCAAGAACTTGGGCTGTTCTCCTGGAGCAGAGCACTCAGATTCCAGCTTGAGGCTATTCACATGTGTGATGGACAGGACAGTTGCAGCCACAAACCAGGGGAGCCCCATGATGGAGCAGACACCTAGCATGATGGCCACCATCAGCAGGTCCAGGTGATAGCCACAGCCTTTCTGTGGGGGGAAACAGAGCTCTGTTACCAGCAGTGCACTGACCACAGCAGAACATACAACCGTGAGTTAAGTGTTTCAGGCCCAAAGCAGGCAGGGGTGTATGAATAAGAAGGAAGGGTTCCTTCCAGGATCTCAAAAGAGATCAGGAGGGAACAGAAGAAAAAGGGACCCCTTAGTCCGTCCTATACGTGCCAATATTCATCATTATTTATCCAAGTGCCCTCAGATCTCACCCTGGGTCTTACACACTCAAAGACCCATCCTTCCCTGGCAGAGTAGCCACAGGCAAAGTCACATTTTGATCATTCTAGATAATACACACTACAGAAATTGGGAATAAGTGGCCTTACTGGGTTCCTACAGTCTTTGTGACATTTGGATATTTCATATTCTGAGCAAGTAGAGAATAAAAATGAAAGGCATGAAGTCTCTCATTTATAAATGTACTGGAATTAGCCCTGCCTCTCTACGATCCTTGGACTCTGAAAAGCTAAGGAGTAGACACCAATGGGAGGATACCTACGTCTAGATGACAGCAGCCTGAACGTCAGGAAAATAAGCTGTCGGGCTGTCTAACCCAGAGCCTGTATTGACGTAGGGATCACCAGGAATTCTGCCCACCCATCTTCCCTGCAACAAATGTGAGGTTGGCCCAGGACTGGTCAGTGTTTTGTTCTGTTCTACATAGGGTCGCTATGAGTCGATTCCAACTCGATGGCACCTAACAACAACAACAACCTTCCCCACAGGTTTCACTCATATAATTCTACTTTGTTCCACTTTAGTCGCCTCTCCAAACCCATCATTTATGGAGGAATGGAAATCTCTTCTGAACCCATTCCGTGACTGTTTTTATTAAGGTTCCACCATCCTGGTCTAGATGGGTTTATTGTTGTTACCTTGAGCTTGTGTTCCTTCCTGTTAATGATGACAGCTGTGATCTGCTGATCCATGAATATTAAGATTGTGCAGAGAAGAGCTGGGATAATTGCAGCTATCACAGTCCACCAGGGATTGGGGCCAATGGGACTAATAATCCACCCCCGATCATCCCTTGTTGGCTAAGGGAAACAAACAAACAAGGCTTTGTTGGAATATTTTAAATTAAATAAAATAAATCAAAGTGAATCATAGCATCTATATTTCTTTTCAGTCTTGAATGAGAATCTCTATACATGTGTGCACATATGTATACACAGACAGAAACTCATTAAAAGAAATCTATGACCTTGTTTTAAATCTCCTTTGACAGTCAATTCTCTATCATCAACTTCCTGTGAAATATTCATTATTCCTGTGCTTCCTTCACCTAGTCCCCAATTTGAACTTTATGCAAATAAGAAGCAACTTTATCTCAACATTATCCAAGACAAATATAAGTAACAACTAAATCCACTGTTAAAATATTTTCAAGATTCCCAAAGACGAATACAAATAGTTAAAATGGTTCTCCTCACTTCTCTCCTCCAGAAGTTATACAATGCATGTCTACAGCACAGAGTCCTAGCGTGGCTCTGCAGGATAAGCATTCAACCACAAGGTCAGTTTGACCTCAAGGTTGGTGGTCCAAACACACCAGGCACTCCTTGGAAACCCTACTGTTGTTGTTGTTAAGTGCCATCAAGTCAGTTCTGACCCATAGCGACCCTATATAGGGTATCCAAGGAGTACCTGGTAAGTCTGAACTGCCGACTTTGCAGTTCAAAGTGACTTTGCAGTCCAGTACATTAACCAATAGCACCACATCAGGACCCCTGGCAACCCTATACAGGGTCACTATGAGTTGGAACCAACTCAATGGCACTAACAACAACAGCACAGATCAAGGCAAAGTTGCACAGAATCTCTGGGCTTAGACTGAATTAGTTCAGAGGCCTTTTATCAGAGTGAAATCTTGGCCTCAGATACCAGTGACTTCAGAGAGGGGTCGGTCCCAAGACTGCTGAACTTGGGAACTTGTTTGATCCAGGACCCTTTCAAATGCTCCTACAATACTACAGTTCAGGGTGATCATGACATATCAGGTACTCTGGGTAAACAAAATTGACCCGTGGCCCAGGAGGATAAAAGACCAGTGATACAATTTGACCCAGAATTGACCAATACTCAGCAAACAAAGCAAAGTATGTTACACCTGAAGCATTCCATATTGGTCAGGACCCCAGGATTCAAAGACTTCAATAAAACAGCCAAGTCCGAAGTTATGCGGGATTATTTTCTAATATGTGCAGAATCTATGTTTCCTTAGTAACAATGTTTAAACGGTAATGACATTTTCAGGCCAACATAAAATTAAACAGGGAGCATTATTAACTCATTCGTAGTAGTACTAGCTTTCAGATTGAGGGTCTGTGTGGTTTAATAGGAAAGGGAAGAAGACAGAAAATGTCTTCTCTGCTTCCTGAAAGCAGGCGCTGTCATGAGCATTTTCTCTGACATTCTCCCGTTACTTTTCTTCTCTCTCCCATCTCCCAGATGTCTCCTTCCAGATGTCCCAGATCTCAGTGCCTTCTGACTATGCTAGGCCTACCCATCAGGTTATCTCACTAAGGGCTGCTTAATGCTCCCAAATTACCTATTTTTACATAAAATCCATTCTTCCTGTGTTGACCTCAACTAGATATTAGAAAGCAGATTGTGCTCAGTCACACAAAGGTGAGAATGACATATTCTCAGAGGCATTATATTTTCAAAGAGGGTGTTTGTTAACCCATAAATTTCCAAGTGGTGACATTTTAGCAAATTTAGCAAAACAAAATGTAAATTTGTCAGGCAATATGGAAAAAGATATTTTTAGCCAAGATTGCTACAAGGAGAGAGAGGGAAAGAACAGAGAGAGAAAAAAAGGGTAGGAAAAGGCTGTGTGTATGGGGCCATTTACAAGGCAGTGACTGCTTTTATTTAATCTCTCTTCTCCCCAGTTACCTAGGTCTCTTATTTTATGATTCTCAGCATCACCAAGTATCCCTGGTTTTCTTTCCTCTCCAATGCAGATCTTTGTAGGGACCCAAGGGACTGAGCTCAAGATTTTCCATCTTATCTGTTTATTCAATTCATGCTCCCAAATTGAAATATATTTGGAGTTTCTATGTACTGATCATTTGTTTTATTTTTAGTACAGATTTTAAAAACTAAGTGAAATTTAGTTTTAAAAACAATGAAATTAGGTTGAAGAGATTCAAAGATGCTGCTGCCAGCGGCCCCAGACACCAGATGTGGCCCCTCTTAATCCCATCCTGCAGTGGCCATAACCTTGAGGGAGTCCTCTAACTTTCCATCTGTCCCAGTGCTCTCATCTAGTTGATGCTCAATGAACGTGCCATTAACCAAACTTGTTCCAGGGACCCATATTAACACATAGCTGGCAATTTTTATGTAAATGTACACATTCCACTGTTTTAAATCTTAAAATATTCAAACAATAAGTGACATTATTAATAATAAACAATACTTTTCATTAAATTAAACAACCTTGGTTTTTCTGTTCTATGTTCAACCAAGATTGAAGAGTTTGCTTTTCTGAATAACAAGGCATAAATAGAAAAGGCTGTTTGGAAAACTGCCAAACTCTTATCAGGATTGTGATATGGAAAGGTCTTTGGAAGTAACATAGGGATCATGAGGGCTGTTTACCTTGAACACATTGGGAACTTGCAGCTTTGGTGATGGTACTCCAATCAAAAAATCAATTATTACCATTGTGAATATAGTGAGGAAAACTGCAAAGTCACTCACCATGGAGCGTACCTGGCATGAGAAAAAAATTAGAAAAATGTTTTAGCAAGATAGAAAAGAATTTAGGTTTGCAAAAGTTTTCAAACTCTTGAGAAGAACTGAAGCCAGCTAAATTGAAGAATTTCTACCAAGACCTAAGGGCACCTTGAGTCAAACCATATAAGAAAATTACACATAAAGAAAAAAGGGTCCACATATATAATCCTGTTCCTTGTAATAGATGTCTCTTGGTATTTCTCCTGGAAAAGAGGCTGCTCAGCCTCTAAACTGACGGTAGGCACAAAGACAGTAAATACAACTAACTGATAGTGAAGCCCTTGCTCTGCCTGCCCTGCTAATTTTCTTATTACAGATGCTCTTCAAGCCACAGCTCCCAAAGCCAACTCCAGCCTGATCAGAGAACATGTCCAGTAAGCACTACTGTGTCCTCTGACTGACCCCAGAACATTAAAACAAAAGTTCACCAGAAGTATGTGACAAGAGCAACTCAGACCAACTTTAGAAATTAGGAATCTGAATTGTGACTTATGAGCCAAGTCCTAACCCTGCCCCTCTTGAATAATGTATATGTTATTTCTTAGAAATCTTATGAATATGCATAACTTCCTGATTCCCCTAAAAACTTAAAAGTTTCCTGAATCTTTAGTTCAGGAAAAGAGTGCTGTCTTCTCACTTTTTACAAGTAATGAAACTTCGCTGAGTTGGCAAATCCCTTAAATCCAGTAACAGAATATTTTAATTTTATAGTTAATACATATTTAAATAAGAATATATTAATACACCCAAATCAATGACCATGAAGTGCATATGCAATTGCTGTTAAGTGCTGTGGAGTCGGTTCCAAACCACAGTGACCCGGTACAGGGTTTCCCAGGAGCAGCTGATGAGCTTGAACCGCTAACCTTGTGGTTCAAACTGACTTTGCAGTCCAGTGCATTAACCCACAGTGCCACACTAGGACTCCGTATATGCAATAGAGGAATATAAACCCTCTGATAAACTCTAATGTTAACCCACCAAAATGTCTCAAGAGTTCTGTTTGGGGCTTTTAGGCTCTACTTCTGAATATTTGGAAAGACGTTTTCTGAGACCAGACAAGGACCATCTGCACCAGACAAGAAACTTAGCTTCATCCTAATACACAGCAGCCAGTCCACCTGCACGTTCTGTTGACTCTACCTTCAGAACATACACAGAATCTGTGTACTTCTCACCACCTCCACTGCTCAAACCCACAGCAAAGTCACCATTCTCTCTTGCCTGGGTAACAGCAGCAGCCCTCCAAGCCTGCTTCGGTCCTCACTCTCTACAGTCTTCTTTAAACACAGTCTCTGGAATGATACATCAGAGCTTGCTTCTCCTCTACTCAAAAGCCAGAAATGGTTCCTCATTCTACCAGCATGTAAACTGGTGCCCATCATCTTTCTCATCCTGTCATCGACTGCTTTCCCCCTTTCCTCCCTCTGTGACAATTACACAAACCCCCTTCTGTTTCTTAAACATATCAAGTCAATCCTACTTCAGAGTCTTCATATTTAGTGTATGTAGTGACCGCTCTACCTGGAACACTGTTCCCCTAGGGAGCCTCCTGGGTAGCTCCTTCACCTTCTTCAGGTTCACGAAGTATCACCTTCTGTGTGAGCGCCTCTCTGACGACCCTATTGAAAACTGATTCCATTCTCGATCCTAGCACTTCCTGAACCCTTTTCCTGCTTTATTTTTCTCCTTATCACTATGCTTTATTTTTCTCCTAATCACTATGAAAAAAAGAAAAACTAGTGACAGACATCTATAATTTTAAGGGGTTTTTCTTACTCACAAAACCAAAATCTAACCATAAAAATAGCCTGACCCAAACTGCAAAAGTACTGAGTAGTTTCACCACAACTGCTCCAAAGCTTTGTATATTTCTCTTTTCAGTCAGAAAAGGGTGGTCAATAACAAAACCATTACTCTTAATTTAATTTTTTTAATGGTGGCCCTTCCTCAATTTTAACCTCAAGAGGTCTCACAGTTGCAAAAGGATACAGGGCCAAGTCTTCAGGAGTTACTTTTTTTAATACTAGCTCAGTAACTGTTAAGTACTCAGTCACCATAGAAACTTAAAGTCATTAAGAAAAAATATATTTAAGTTTCTGCACAATCTCCAGTCCTCAGGAGTGTTTCTTTTTCTTCTAATCCTTTATTAAGATTACTCGTGCTCCTCTAATTTGCAAACTGTTTATTAAATTATGAAACAATTATTATATTGTTTTATTGAGCTAATTCACAGTTTATTTGTAAACAACTGTGCCACTTGTTTTACTAAATGAAATGATTCCCCTATGTGCAGAGCTGGCTGCTCAGAATGAATCTTACGTTTCAAATTTTTTGGCTTTTGATTGTTTTTTTTAAATATCATCATTTTCCTAGAGATTCCCATCCAATTTAAGGCTTGCCCTCAGAGGGCTGTCCCACATTATAATTTAGTGTAGTTTTAGTAAACATAGTGTCTATCAACTGCCCAATGCTACTTTAACTAAATTTCCAACAGAGATAGAACAAAGCGTATCTTAGCTACATGCTGCTGCTGTCAGGTCCCACTGAATCAATTCCATTGAGTACAACAAAACAAAGCATTGCCCGGTTCTGCTTCATCCTCACAACTGTTATTACACTTGAGCCCATTGCTGCTGCCCCTGCGCCAATCCATCTCATTGGGGGCCTTCCTCTTTTTCACTAACCTTCCACTTAATTGAGCACCATGTCCTTCTCCAGGGACTGGTCCCTCCTGATAATATGTCCAAAGTATGAAAGACGAAGTCTGGCCATCCTGGCTTCTAAGGAGCATTCTGGCTGCTCTTCATTCAGCAAAGTCTTGTTCTTCTGGTCGTAGTCCATGGTACTTTCAATATTCTTCTCCAACACCATAACTCAAATGCAACAATTCTTCTACAGTCTTTATTCAGTATCCAGCTTTCACATGCTATTAGGTGATCAAAAATACCATGGCATGGGGCAGGCATACCTTCATCCTCAAACTGATATTTTTGCTCTTTAACAGTTTAAAGAGGTCTTGTGCAGCAGATTTGCCTAATGCAATATGTCATTTGATTTCTTGGCTGTTGCTTCTATGAGTGTGATTTTGGATCCAAGCAAAATGAAGTCTTTGGCAATTTTAATCTTTCTCCATTGATCATGATGTTACTTATTGGTCTAGTGGTGAGGATATTTTCCTTTACATAGAGGTGCAATCCAAACTGAAGGTCAAACTGAAGGCTGTGGTCTTATCTTAATCAAAATCTCACATGTACCTTCACTAAAACCATAACCTAATTTTGTTATCCTTTGAAACATGAGGTTTCCGGCTTCCCTCTCCAATTTTGGTAGTTCTAGGAATGTTACATATATCTTCTGAACATCTCCCATCCTCTGCCCCATGAAATCCATCTTAACCTTCACGAAGCCCAGTGGTCTTCTCTCCTCTGAATTCTTCAGCATTTACCTATCATTTTGGCATCCAACTATTCCTTATTCACTCATCATATGATAACTAATTGTTTCATGTGTCTTAGCTTCTTACCTGGTGTCATATGTTGTTGTAGTTAAGTGCTGTCAAGTTGGTTCTGACCCATAGGTGACCCATTCATTAGAGGGTGTCAGATACCAGGTTCTAAAATTGCACACCCCATAACACTTAACAGAGACCTGAGCAAGCAGTCAGATGTACTGAAGAAAGTAACTGTCACTTGCTAATTATTTGTCCAGATAGGAAATAAAAACCACGAAGTTATTGAATATGTGGTCCCTTAACTTCTGTGTAGGAATCCTAGTGGCACTGTAGGATCAGCACTGTACTGCGAACTGCAAGGTCAGCAGTTCAAACCCACCACCCACTCAATAGGAAAAACATGAAGCCTTCTGCTCTCATAAAGATCAATAGGCTTGGAAAGCCTTTACAGAGTCCCTAGAGTGAAGATCAACTCCATGACAGTGAGTCTTTAACAACTATGTGGGCTGAGGACTTGTCTGTGTGTACAAATATCTAATCAACAAAACCCCTCACCTATTCACATATCCTTCTCTGTGAATGCACCTAGTTGAGGCCTCACTTGCAAAAAACCACAGATCCTCCTGATCTGAGCTGCTTTTTAAAGCAATGGCCTCTTAAGTCACAACACAGTCAGCCTCTAATTCTGTCCAGCAAACTGGCAGAAGCCCTGATCACTATGCAAACAATACCATCTGCATCAGGGAAAGGCTCCAAACAGCTGTGCAAACCAAGTCCGGAGCATGCTGGCTGCTACTGTCAATGAGACTAGTGATTTCATAAGCTACTGCAAAAGTCATCAACTTTGAGGTTCCCTAAAGTAGAGTTCCGCTGGACTGCAAAGTCAGTTTGATCTGCAAGGTTGATGGTTCAAGCTCACCTTGAAAACCCTATACAAGGTCGCTATGGGTCGGAACCAACTCAACGGCACTTAATAACAACAACAACAAAGTAGAGGCCAGAAGTCCTGGTGTGGTGCTGCAGGTTAACATGTTGGACTGCAAGGTTGGTTTGAACCAGAAGGTCAGCAATTCAAGTTCACCAGCCACTCCTCGGAAACCCTATACAGAGTCGCTATGAGGTAGAACAGACTTGATGGCATTTAACACAACCAAAGTGTCTAAGAAAGGAGCCCTGGTAACATAGTGGGTTAGGTCAGTAGTTCGAATCTACTAGCACACCACAGAAGAAATCTGAGGTTTTTTTGGTCCTGGTATGGTGCTGTGGGTTAATGCGCCAGACTGCAACGCTGTTTGAATTGCAAGGTCAGTGGTTCAAGTTCACCAGCTGCTGCTCCTCGGAAACCCACAGGGTCACTATGGGTCAGAACTAACTCGACGGCACTTAACAACAATAAAGATTTACAGCCTTGGAAACCCTATACAGGATCACTGTGAGTCAGAACCTCTAACACCACCACCACAGTTTCTAATGAGTCCTGGCGTGGCACTATCGGATAAGCACTAGACTGCTAACTGAAAGGCTGGCATTTGAACCCACCAATCAGTCCTTGGAAACCCTATTCAGGATCACGGTGAGTAGGAACTGACACGACAGCACTCAACAATAACAACCAAGTGTCTAAGGCATCACTCCAACTGACCATATTCTGGAGCCAGCCAACTTCAGCTGTTACATGCTAAGTGTGCTAACGTTCTGGAAATGAAGCCTAACAGTATTCTGGAAGTAAGGATTACTAGCTTTTAGAGAGCACTAGTGTAGTGGTTACGAATCGGGCTGCGAACCACAAGGTCAGCAGTTCGAAACTACCAGCTGTTCCGCGAGAGAAAGATGAGGCGTTCTGCTCCCATAAAGATTTACAGCCTCGGAAACCCTGTACAGGGTCGCTATGAGTCGGAACCGACTCCACGGAAAACAACAACAACAACTGCTACCTTAGGAGCATGATGGCTCTCCAGGATAACCATGGGACTGTAGACCACAAGGTCAGTGGTGTGAGCTTTCCAGCCACTCCGCTGGACACAGATGAGGCTTTCTGCTCTCATAAAGTTTTTGTTTGTTTTTTTTATTGTGAACTGAGTGAAGGTTTACAAACAAGATCATCAGCTTTACATTCAACAAACCCTGAAAGACCAAATTTGTTTCATCGTTTGCAATCAAAAATGATTACATTCCCCTCCATGCAACAACAGTTATTATCCCGCTTCCTCCCTGTGGTTCCTATTGGCATTCCACCCACCTCTCTGTCCCTTCACAACTAACTTCGTCCCTAGAAAAATGCTGCTGCCCTTTTGATTTTGAATGATTGAGCATGCCTCACCAGTGCTAATGCCTCCTCCTATAAACCTATCCACTGCTTAGGTAAAAATTGGGCCATGAGGGTGAGTTCCACTCCACACCTGAAGGGTGGTTGAGAGCCATACTCTCAAGTTCCTCCAATCTCTTTCTTTTTCTTCTTTTTTGTAACTAAATAATTTTGAGTTTTATTTCACATTTTCTCCTGCTCTATCCAGAACCCACTAATGTGCTTCCTCAGGGCAACTGGCAGTGGTAGCTGGGCACCATCTAGTCCCTCTAGTCTCAGAGTCATGGAGATAGATGTTCACATGTTCCATTAGTTCACTGGCTAATTGATTCTAAGCCTCTTTTATTCTTATCACTCTCCTTTCTTCAGCACATGGAGAGACCAATAGCTGCATCTTAGACAACCACTCATGGGCTTTCAAAAGCCCCAAAGTTACTCACCCAAGCAGGATGTGAAACACTACCTTATGTTATGTCAATTGACCATGGTGTCCCCTGAGACTATGGTCCAGAGCCCTAGACCCATTAACTCACTGTCTTAGGATGCTGGATAATATCTAGGAAATTTTCATCATTTGTCCACAATTATTGTTGTGTTTGCATGTACAAATATCCTATTTCAAATTCTTCTATATTTGTTCCACAAAGATTTAAAGCCTCGGAAACCCTATACAGGGTCACTATGGGTCAGAACCAACTCGATGGAACTTACCATGTAACAACTACCATGTAAAACTCAAAAAATAGTGGCTGAGCAGCATAATGAGCATAGCTAATGTCATTAAACTGTACACATGAAGATTGTTGAAATGTCAAACACTTTGTTACATCAATTTTTATCACAATATTTAAAAAAAACAAGAATGAAAAAGATTTTCATAAATCTATGTTCCAAAATGGGGGCACGGGGAAGCTTTTAAGTATTAGCCCCTCATTCCAAACTATACATCTAGAAGAGAGGCAACAGACAGTGGACGAGAAAGCCACAGAGTGGCCCATCAAGACATCTGGAGCTCTCTATGGAGGCTGTGGAGTCCTGGTGTGGCGCTGTGGGTTAATGTGCTGGACTGCAAAGTCACTTTGTAGCTGCTCCTCAGAAACCCTATACAGGGCCACTATGGGTCGGAACCAGCTCAATGGCACTTAACAACAACACGGAGGTTGTATTGCATTAGGTAAATATGCCACACAAGACATCTTTAAAGTCCTCAAGAGCAAAGATGTCAGCTTGAGGGCTAAGGAGCACCTGACCTAAGCCATGGTATTTTCAACAGTCTCATATGCATGTGAAAGTTGGACAGTTATTAAGGAAGACAGTAGAAGAATTCATGGAGGAGAATACTAAAACTGCCCTGGACTGGTTGGAGAAAGTACAACCACAATGCTCCCAATAAGCCATGAAGGCAAGACTTCATCTCTCATGCTTCAGACATGTTATCAGGAGGGACCAGTCCCTGGAGAGGACATCATGCTTGGTAAAGCAGAGGGTCAGCGAAAAAAAGGAACCCCCCCCCCACCCCCTGCCAGCTAGATGGACTGGCACAGTTGCATTAGCAACAGACTCAAAGCAGAGCTACAATTGTGAGGACAGCATAGGGTTTCCTATGGGTCAGAATCAACCCGATGGCACCTAACAACAACAAAACAACATGGAGGCTGAGGAAGGCTCTATTATGTTAGACTTCTAATGCAGAAGAAAACATGCTCAGCCAGCACTCTCTGCTTAAACATGAATTTGGATTACTCATGATGAGCTACCTACTTTGGTTGGGAAATAGTGACTCGTCTTGAACGTCTTTAAGGTGCTCGAGAGGATGAAAGTGGTGAAAAAGAGAATGCAAGACCAAAAGAGCACATCAGGAGTGTAGGGTCCATGATGGCCACATGCAGATCCCGTGAACTCTCCATGCATCTCCTGGCATTCCTGGAGGAACAAGCATTTTGGGTTATTTAAAACAGGCATAGAGAAATAAACAGCTGTTTTCCTGATTCCACCATACACTATCATCTGTGGTTGCTGAGTAATGCATATAGCCAGTTGTACCCTCTTGACCTCTAAGAAACTTGCAAGTACAGGCTCCTTCCATGTTTAATGGCTATTTATGGCTCTAAGTTATATTGAGAATGAAACCAAAACTTCCCTGAGAAAATACTACTTACAAGGTTCTGGAAGAGTCCTAGAAACTTTGTATTATTTTTATTAAAGAGGGCCTGCAAACTTAATATTCTTCAAGTCCCCCCTCAAAAAACCCTGGATCTACCCCTGCCCCGCTTAGTTTCATCCCCACATATCCTTAGTGTAGGGGCACTTGGCAGGGTGTGCATGGGAGAAAACAGGTTCCCTTCTGTTCCCTTTATAGGCAAGATACCTTTTGAAAGGGAAAAGAAAATCAGTAGGAATTTTGTTGTTGTTGTTGTAAATAAGCTTTATTCCTGACAACACCAGAGCTTGTCAAAGGGCTACCCTACTTCCACCTAGAAGTTCTTCTTAAACCCAATGGTCACAATGATAGGGTATCTGGCAGTTCCCAGACTTACACTAACAGTCAGGTTAGCCCAATGGATCTGCGTTGCCACGATGTCATGGTCCTTCCAGAACTGCAGAGTATGGTTATTCGGATTCTCTGGGGGAATACACCTGCAGCTGAGGGGAACAGAAGAAACACTCCTGAAGAAGCTAACCAGATGTTCAATGATTTTATCCAACACTAGGCTAAAAGACTCGGGCAGAGCCAGAGTTTTTCCTCCTGTCTCACTCCAGACCCCTAAGGTTGGGTCCTATCAGTTAAGGTCCATCTGTAGGTCCAACCACATTCCAGTTTTTCAATCTGTTATTTCTAAAGATACATACAAATCAGTGCATGGGTTTATGTTTAAATTGTGCTGACAACCAAGCCTGGAATCTGACATCCCCAGAATGACCCCTTGCTTAGTTTCTTCCCATGAAAATCAATCAATATAGTAAGACAGATGGACACTCAAAGAGGACTTCACCCCAACTCAGCTCTTAATAGCTTCCTCCAAACTCAATAATAGCTCTCTATACACCCTATCATGTTTCTGCTCTGAAAATTGGTGTCTCCTAGAATAATGATGCAAGTTCTTCTGGGCATTGCTGCCTTGTCTCCTGTGATACCTCACCTCACTAACTTGGCCATTTCCTGGCTGCTTGTGCTGGAGCCATACGTGTCAGCTATGTTAGTTTCCTCATGGAGCCCATACTTGCTTCTTCTGTCTCATAGTCCACCATGGTGCCTCCCAATTCTAGCATGTTCTATGCCTGAACTGGCTACCTGTATTACTGGCTGACACAACTATCTCTGCCAACTTTGTTTCATGTGCAAATTTAATTTAATCATCATACCTTCTGAGAGGCAGCATGATTATTAAGATTCACAGAATTCTAAACAAGTTATAATAATAGGAGGAAATCAACAAAATGAAAAGTAATAGGGAGGCTTTAAAGTACTAGATCCTATATTTAAGAAATTAATGCCACACATATGAATATAAAATCATTTCAAGAGCTGGAAAGTTCTAGTGTCACATCAACACCAGATGAACTAACAGTGAAATGCAACTATGAAAAATACCATCTTGTACTTTACTAACAAAGAATTGCAGTACTGTATCCATACCCAAAGTCTGTTTAATCCAGGGTTAGCCACTTATCTGTCATCTGCCCCTAAAATATAAACCTTGTAAGAGTAGATCCTTTGTCTGGCATGTTCACCACGACATTTCCAGAGTCTAATACAGTGTTTGGCACACAATAAGTGCTCAGTAAATACTTGTTAAATGAATGAATGATTAAAAGAAATAAAAGAATAAACCTTACTGAAATCAGGACTGATTAGCAATCCATTAGACATTGAAGATTATGCTCCCTAATGTTTTTTCTTTTACAGTAAAATAACAATTTTTAAATTATGACAAGTTTTTTATTAGTTCATATTTTTAATGGTTAATGGTATAGTGGTTACAAGTCGGGCTGCTACTCTCAAGGACAACAGTTTGAAACTACCAGTCACTCTGCAGAAGAAAAATGAGGTTTCTGCTCCTGTAAAGATGTACAGCCTCAGAAACTCTATGCATGGTTGCTATGAGTCAGACCCATGGCACATAGCCACCACCACCACCACCAGCACCAATGAATAAATAACGAGATAACAGTGCATTTGTGATTGATTGGCAGATGCCTCCAGTGTGTGTGTTCTCTCGTCTTGGGCAGTTTCAGATAGAAATTATTCACTTCCCACCCAAAACCTCCACATCAGAACTGTACAGCCAGAGAAGGGAGGAAACTTGATGTGCAGAGTTAAGGAAAGAGGACCATTGGTTATAATTTGGAGAATACTGCTCCAGAAGAAAAATGATTTCTAGGACCAGACTCTTATACATGGTTAAAAACACATCCAGGCACCATTATCTCCTTTCCAACTGATGCAAATTATGTTGAATACATGAAGAAAACAAATCCCTTGAATTGAAATGTAGGTAAGTAAATAGTTTCTAGACCTTTATGATACAGAATAAGAGACCCCTGAATCTACAAGGAGTTATTAATACATCTCTACTTACTGTTTATAAAGTCCTGGTGTAGCAATGTAAGACTGCTAACCAATATGTTGGCAGTTCAAACCTACCAGCTGCTCCTTAGAAACCCTATACCGGGTCACTATGAGTAGGAACCAACTTGGCAGCACACCACCACCAATAACAGCACATGCTTTCAGAGAAACAGAGTCCACTCAACTCATATGAGAATATGGTTATCCAGCATTTTATAAGCCCCTGCAGGAGATCTCTTTAGGGCCAAGACTTAACTTGACTTACAGTAAGCTTGAATGATTACCCCAAACATTAAAAAAAAAAAAAATCGGAGTATACATATTACCCATTCAATAAAAAGTTTTAAAAATTCAAATTTTCCCAATAACTAACTCAAAATCTCCCTGCTACAACTGCAGCCTCTTTTTGTTTCTATGTCTGAAACCAAGACTTGCTCTGTAAAGCACTTCTTGAGTTCCCTCTGGGTTTCTACTCTTAGTCTGTAGTCTCCATCATCATTCTTGATTGTTCTCCTCTGGCATACTTCCAAGTCTCCTCTCATCTTTATCTGAGTTCTGGTTCCTAGAGGGCCAAATTCCTTAGCAGAAGCTCCATGCACTGCCTGGAACACTACATCAACCATTAAACTTAGGTCCCTTGCTTATTTAAAAAAAAAAAAAAAAAAAAGACAAGCAAAAGCAGACTTACTAATAGAGGCTAAGGTGGTCCAGCTGGCTGTGCATGTGAATGGGGTAGGTCTCTGCCAGGTGGATAAGCTTTTCTATTGCTTCATAGATGAAAATAATGCAGATCAGGGAGGCAAACGCTTCTTCAGTGAAACGGGTAATGTAGCAGACAAGGGAACTGGCATCAGTTGCCACAAGGACAATACACAGGAAGGCAGTCCACAGTCCAATACAAGCTCGCAGAGAGAGGTATGAAAGAGCATAATCCCTGAAACAAAACCAAAACTCATCAGAAAGTATGGATGGATGAGATTAAGAGACACAGAGTCAGAAATGTGACTGCCTTATCTTCCATTATCCATATCCACATCACTACCCAGTTTATCACTAATTCTGACTGCATTGCATTCCAAATTGCTGCCCTGGGACAGCTGACACAAAGAGTTGCTTCACTGGTAGCATATGGAAAACAGAAGGAAGAAATGTTCCCATACACAATCTTTCTGTCATTACTGCCCAGGGTAGTTAAGATCTTATTCTTGCATTAATAGAGATGTTGTCCCTTCTTCCACATGCTCCTACTTCTAATAGAAAATGAATAAAGGCGATTACAAGAAAAATAGGGAAATCAGGACACTGCTGAGCCCCTACCACCAGGCTCAACTAGAATATGGTGTAAGAGTATTAGGCCAAATTAAAATAGACTCAGAATGAACATGGAAGAGTTTGAATTAGCTAAGGCAAGTTTTTTAAAAACAAAAAGTTAAAACTTGAATAATGGCTGAAGGGCACTGACAAAGTTCTTTATAAGAGATCTGCTCTTTTAGGTATGGGGCTATCTGGAGGCTGGACAATAGTCCAAATGATGTTCTTCCTTCAGATGTTTTATGATCCAGAATGATATTTGCCCACTTGTACTCACCTAGGACCCTGGCATTCAACACTGGCAGCACATTATCCACATCCAGTAAAGGGGTTTTTAGAAAAACAAATGTCTTACTTGCAGAATTTGAACAAAATCTTTTCAAACACAAGCACTGGTCCAGTACTTCCCAAGATGGTAAGAGCTTGCCCAGCAAACAAGGAGTAGGCAATCCCAGTCATGGAGGCTCCGAACAAGGACTCAATTGCACTCTGAAAAGAAAAAAAAAAGGGAGAAAAACAAACCCATCATTGAGTTTGTTAAGTCCGTCGGTAAAGAGTAATATTGGCTTATGTACATTCCTGACTTAGCTTTCATGTGTGCCTACACAGTCATCTGCTTGTATTTCATCTTAGCAAGAGCGATGTGTACACACTGTCTGATACTCCTGTAAACAGATACCACTTTCATAATCCAGGTACCCAGATCCATCCACATATGATTCCTCAACTAAGTTTTGCTCTACAGTGACTCAATTCAGTATTTAAAAATATATGCAAACCACAATAATACTGTTCATGTTAAAAGCTGCTATACAGAGTCACCTTACATCGTATTTTCAAATGACAACAATATATCTACTTTTTAATCCTTGGGCAATGGGAAAGCCTTCTGTGCAACCAGCTACTGAAATTGATATTCAAGCAGAAAGAGAGTCCCTTCTACTGAGAGAACCATGCTGCAGACTGCTGTGTGATGTGATAATTCAGGAGGAAGAATCTGATCCCTGTAGACCTAACAGTGGGGATTTTCTCCTCAGGGGCCTTGGCTGCCACTACAATATGTTAAGTCTTATCTTACTATGCGTCCTTCGGTGGCTTCTCCAAGCAGTCCCCCAAAGGTGATGACAGGTGACATGCAGGCACAATACAGGAACAGAAAGGAGGCCAAACACTGCAAACTGAGTGCATCCCGGTAGTCGCTCCAGTACCAGGGGGCCTTCCGTTTGATGTCCAGCACCAAGCCCCCAAACAGCCTGCAGAAACATGGCAGACAGGCCTCCAACACTGTCCCTCTTCCACAAAAGCGTTATTGACAACACACATTTGAAAATATGCTCTGTACTGAGGTAATACTTTGGTTTTAATTTGGCCCCAAGTTTAGGAGCTCTCTTTAGGGCCAGCAGCAGAGATCATATTTGTAACCATGAATTTGACTTACAGTAAACATGAATGATTATCCCAAGCATTAAAAAAAAAAAAAAAAATTGGGGTATACATATTAACCATTCAATAAAAAGTTCAAAAAAAATTAACATGAAAGCCAAGTATTGGCTTCAAATTTCAAATTCTGACGTGTTAAAAGAAAATGTACAAAAGCAACCCAAGTATTAAATTGTTAGTTTTATTATATTTTCTAGATAAAAAGTCCCTGTCACATGTACTTTCCTACTGTATTCATTAAGAAATTAGCATCATAATCCACTCATGCAGTTGACAAGTATTATTAGCAGGTACTTCATGCCAGGCCATGTGCCACGTACTAGAGATGCGGCAGTGAACAAGACAGACAGAGCCCTTGCTCTCCAGGACCAACAGTCTAGATAGAGCGGGAGACAAGCAGTGCTGTCAGGGGGCTCTGGTACTGTAGAAGAGCGAGGGCATTTGTTTCAGCAGAGCCTTGAGGATATACCAGGAATTAGCTAGATGAGGCAGAGTTAGCTAACATGGGTGGACCCCTAGAAATGAGAGTGCATGACAGCTTAGAGATACTGAAAGAAGACTAATATGGTTGGGTAATATTGTATGTGAGGAAAACACCAGTAGAAACGGCTGGAGAAACTGAGTCATGAAGGGCCGTATGAACTGTTTTAAGGAATTAAAACTTTATTATAGTAGCATGTCAAATCACTGAAAGATTGCAGACATGGGTGAGGCATAAATCAAGCATGTATTCTAGAAGGATCAGTCTGGTGGCAGTGTAATGATTGCAGCATAGAACAAGACTAATGGAGCATGGAATGGTGGACTGGGGAGAAGCGGATAAATTCAAGTAGTAGATAAACAGGGCTTGACGGCAGGCCTTTAGGGCTCTTTTCTACATCTCAAGGATGAGACAGATATGGAGAAAGTTATCCCACACCAAAGAGAAGGAGTAATCTTCCCAAATTGGGTCACACTTTTGTTAAAAGTGGAGTAATCATCAGGGTGAAAGTTTTCTCAGGTGAGGCTGGAGTGATGAAAGAGCCACTCAGTAGGCTACAAGACAAATGATCTGTTCTTTTATACAAATCAACGGCAGGGGTGGAAAGGTAGGAAGGATGTGATATAGAATGGGTACTGTCATGGATTGAATTGCATCTCCCCAAAATATGTGTCAACGTGACTGGGCCAGGACTCGCAGTGGTTTATCAGTTGTGTAGCAATGTAATCTGGTAGTTATGAAAGATATAATCATCTCCAGGATTCCAGCGTGAGATGTACCTCCCTTCTCAGGTCATGGTCCTGATCTGATGTAAGGGAAACTTCCCTGAGGTATAGCCGGCATCACCTTTTATCTTACAAAAGATAAAAGGAGAGTGAAAGGAGCAGAGACCAAGGGACCTCAGTCCACCAACAAAGAAGAGCTGGGAGCAAAGCACATCCTTTGGACTTGGCGTCTCTGCTCTAAGAACTTCCCAGACCCAGGGGAAGATTGATGCCAAGGCACATGAAGGTCCCCAAGGAACATGGGGCCCACAGATGCTAAAAGGAGACAAAGTCCTTTCCCCAGAGACAACAAAGTGAGAAAGCCTTCCCGTAGAGCTGGTACCCTAAATTTGGACTTCTAGCCTCCTAAACGGTGAGAGAATACATTTATATACCACTTGTTGTATAGCAGTACTAGATAACCAAGACAGGGCCATAATAACCAAATGTAAACCTGGATTGGGGCCTACATTGAACACGTGAACTCTAAAATGACGTTGTGTTACAAAGACAACCATGAAAAGTTTAATATGGACTGAGCATTCAAAAACTTAAAGAATGATTACTAATTTTGTTAGATTTGTTAATAGCATGATGACTTTTCTTTTTTAAAACTGTTCTTATCAAATAGAGATACATACTGAAGTATTTACAGGTAAAATGACATGGTGGTGGTGGTTTGGCTTAAAAATAACCTAGAAAACATAAACATAAAATAAAGAAAGAAGATTAGCAAAATGCTAGTAACTGTTCATGAGTGCAGGGGAGTTTATAATACCATTTTCTCTGCATTTTTTCATGTTTGGAAGCTTCTATACTAAAAAGGTGAAAATCAAAGTAAAAGAATTAAAGAAAAGAAATAGAGAAAACAAGATACTTTTATAAGAGAGCTTAGCCAATTCTCCCCTTCTCTCTTTCTAGAAGCCTGGAGGTGCATGGTGAGCCCTGAGGCCTGGCTCCCAGAAGAGGAGACCCAGACAGCAATTCTTGTCCATTCAAATGATCGAAGGGACAATGGGTGTACAGACGGATACAGGGCAGACACTGGACCCTCTTACCTACTTCTCCTGTGGTTTGGTGGATGTAGTTGAGATTCACCATTCCTCAGTTTGCAGCTTTAACATCATAATCTGGGTCTGAGTTTAGGGAACAGAAGCAGAACCAGCCACGTGGCCTGCTTACGTTTTAGTCCATCTGGAAATCCCAATTTAGGTAAAAGAGCTATCCACAGCTATCCTACTTCCGCCTCAAGGCTTGGGGGCAAGGCTCCAGTTAGTTATAAAGTGTCACTTTGTTCTTCTTTCTCCTTTGAGTAAATAGCTCATTAAGGACTCTGCAGGCAGCAGTGATTAATCTGGGGCAAGATTCAAGTGTTTCTGGGTTCTTAGCTGTTATAACATTTTATTACCATGTTAATATCGCTTCTTAACCACCAATAACCTTCTTCTGAAGGGCTATATTCTGGGCAGAGCATCTCTGCAATAATGAGTTCATAGTCCCCCTGCCCTACTGAGACAACAGAAGAGGCTGCCATGATTGTTCACCTCACTGAATGTAGAATGCATCTTCTGAAGCAAGTGTCTGAAAGTAACAGGCATAGTATTGATATGAAATGGATTTATGAGAAGCCTCAAACATAACACTTATGAGGATGGCACAGGACCAGACATGTTTCTTGCTGTTGTGCATAAGGCCGCTTGATGAGGCAGCTATAACCAATTAGACAGCACCTAACAATAATAACAACATCAAAAGGGAGGCTATCTATCTAATTATAGGGAGGGAAAAAAAGATCTGAGGCTCAATCAATAATGTAGCCATAAATTAATGAAATAATGACTGAATACTGCTTATGGAGCCAACCTCATACCTGGTTCATACATAAAATCAAGCCAGAATCACAGATTGATCTCAGACATCAGGCAGGGATTCTTCTTTCATATGAGCTTTTCTTTCCCTTTCTACACTGCCCTGGACATTACAATTCTAGGGGCCTGGAAACACACAGGGATATGAATTTAAGCTTGATGCAAGAAAGGACTTACCAGTGTAGAGGGTCACTAGGCTCTGGAGCATTGACTTAGGGAGCCCTTCTCTGAGGGTTTTAGGGACAGGCCATCCATCCATTTGTCTCATGTGCTTTGGAAGAGACCTGTTTAAAGTGTTTGGGGGGGGGGGGATGGGGGGGATCATCGAGATAGCTCCTTATTCTTTTTTTCCTTCAACACTTCCCAAAAGTGGCATCCAAAACAAGAGACACAAGTATACCCTGGAAAACGCCTTTCCAAAGTCTCTTCCCTGTTGTGAGTCTTCTGGCCTGGGACTATGTAAGAACTAAGCCAATTGTCTTCGTTACATATAGGGATGCCTCAGCATCACTGCTGGGTCCATTTCTGGGAGGCTCAACACGTGGTCCTAGCCCTGAGGGGAAGGGTCAGATAATACAGAACTCAAAGCACTCTTTTAAACTTTGTCTCCTTTCCACCTTCCTAGAGTCCACTCTACCCCATCTTCATAAACCTCTCCAATCCAATGAGGATAGCATGTCCCAAGTCTTTTACTTTTGTTCCATTGTTGTGTAACATGATATGCAGAAAACAGGGTTTCCACCTCTAAGAAATACAAATAATGGTTTGAAGAATTATAAAACCCAGACTAATGTGGTTTTGGAGTCCTGGTGTGGCACCACAGGATAATCACTCGACCCCAAGATCGATTTGAACTGCAAGGTCAGTGGTTCAAACTCACCAGCCGCTCCTCGGAAACCCAATAGAGGGTTGCTATGAGTCAGAACTGACTGGACAGCACTTAACAACAATGTGGTTTTTGTCTGTGCAGTCCAGGAAGGTCTGAAAACTCCTAGGATGTCCACCTGTAGAGGGAATGTTCAAGTTGACATCCTACATTTTTTAAGATTAGGAAAGGGACCAGAGTTGGCATGAAACTCTAATGCCTGATGAAAATATTGAGCCATCAGACCTAAAAAGTTACATAGGGAGGGAGGTCATATCTCAAGGTCCTTTACTAAGGGCTCTGAGAAAAACACCAGGAACTCTGGAGAAGTTAGCTGTCTCCCACACTGAGCAGAACTAGAGTGGGGGCCCCAGATAATCCTTCCTTTCAGCTCTGTCAATTGCAAAATTCCTGACACAACAATCTGGGAGAACTCCTTTGAACTGCAAAAAAAAAAAAAAAAAAAAAGGCACTTCCAGGTTTGTGATTAAGCAAGTAATGATCCTGATAATAAGGAGTTTTCTTTTGGGACTTCAGTCACCGTTTCTGAGATTCTAGAACTATTGGGATTCAGTCCAATGGTCTCCTAAATCCCCATGTAGAACTGATTATCAAAAACCCTAGTCTAGGTCCTACTTCCATTACCTGATGTAGAATTTTCTTCTCTCTTTGGCACCAAAATAAACCTGAAATCTTACCTGTGTATGTGTATCTGTTTAGTGGAGACTTTACAAAACACTAAATCCTGGGTATGAACACTCTTTGTACCCAAAAGATAAATCCTTATTTGAAAGTACTATCAAATCCATTTGTACCCAAAAAATAAATCTTAATTTGGAAATACTATAAAATTCCTCCAAAATACTTCTTCATCTATTCTAAGGAGAGATGCCTCCCTGGAACTGTCTTCCAATCTAGTTCAGACTTTTCCCAAATTCAAACAAACTGTTGAACTCACTCTTAGGGTGCTCCCTAACTTTATTGACTCTTCCCATTCAATGAGTTCTTGCTTTCTTCCAATACTCACTCTCCAGAGCCTAATTTTTCCAACACTCAAGAACATTCCTTCAACCAGAATACACACTTCACTTCCATAGCAGGACGACTCGAATTAAGTGACATTGTCTATCCTGCTTCTGTGTTTCCTTTTATAGCTTCTCCCTGAATTTCTAAGGGGGGGGTGGGGAGTGAGGAACAAAAATGCTTTCCATAACTCCAAAAGAAAACAAACCTGTATTTCTATTGGGTTGAAGTACTGAAGGTAAAACAGTAAGGAAAGTAATCTCAAGCAAGAAAGAAGAAAAGGGAGGGGACGACATTAGAATGACTTCCATGATCTCAGTCCTCCCTGAGAATCTCCATCCAGTATATCCTCTCAGCTACAGCCTTGTCCCGTGATCTGGGGACACTTTGGGAGACACACCAATCCAAAATATCATCTTTTTACTACCCCTCTACTTGAGGATAAAACCTATTGTAAAAGACCTCTTCCTCTGACATCTATCTGTCTTTAAAACCTTGCCCTAGAAGAGAATACTTCCTGTTTTGAGACACACTGCTAAGATAGTACTTATCTTCCTACACTAAAGAAGTTTCTTATACCAGAATGATTACTTATCGTTTGTCCATTTCATGCTATAAAACAAGCATCATTCTAAAAGTATTCATTCATTCACTAAACAGTGAGTATTTACTCTGTGCCAGGCCCTCCGCTGGATGCTAGAAATATAATGGTGAACAAGGCAGATGGAGTCCCTTCCCATATGCAGTAGTCTAGCAGGAAAAATCAAGCAATATTAATAACAAAGTATGATAAGGACTGTACCAGGGGGAACTCAATGCTGTCTGTGACATCACATACCAGGAACACCTCATGTACAGAGTCCTTCTCAAAGGAAATGGCAACTAAGCTGAGACAAAGGATAAGCAGGAATTAGATATAGAGGAGGAAGGGAGCGTGTTCAGATCAGAGAGAACATGTAGGAAGTACTGGAGATCGGATGCAAGATCGTAGCTGGTTTGAGAAATCTGAAAGAACGAATATAATATTTGGTATATCTGTCATAGTTAAAATTGGTGATTCCATTTGAAAAGTCATTCCCAGACTATAAAGATCTCACAAAGAAGGTTGAAAGTATTCCTTTACACAACTTCTACCCAGTAAACAACATCAGCTGAGAACCCTCCAAGAACTTACCGCCCGGTACGCTGAAGTTCTGGCCCACTGTGGCCCCCATGTGGCTCCAGTTCTATGTGGCATATGTTTCCATTTGGAACTCCAGGCATTTTCCTTTTCTCCTATTAACAGAGGACCACACACACACACACACACACACACACACACACAAATCAGCCATCTGTTCTGTCCTATCTGTTAACAGGAAGGCATGACAATGGGATAACCCCAAACCAGCCCAGAATGCCCATGAGTTTCTCTGTAGCTTTTCAATGCGTTTTCTGATTTGAGGTCGAGGTGGCATATATTAATGTGTACACACATACACATATATACACACATATGTGTGTATATATATGTGTGTGTGTGTGTGTGTGAAGCGTCAATGAGTGGGACTCATAATGACCCGTATAGGGTTTCCAAGACGTTAAATCTTCATGGAAGCAGAAAGCCTTATCTTTCTCATACAGAGTGGCTGCTGGGCTTGAATTGCAGACCTTGTGGTTCACAGTCCAGTGCTTATCATATGGAGCTACTATGCTCCCATACATTTTTTTTTTTTATTGATTTGATTGATTTGGTTGGTTTGATTGATTTACTTACTTACTTACTTACTTACTTTACTTAATTACTTACTTACATCTGACTTCTCACTCTGCCTTGCCCAGAAGCAGGAAAAATGGGGAACTTGGGCATTAAATATGATCTAACCTTCAAGTTTCCAATTTGCCTCTGTATAATCCTACTTTGGAGTCCTGGTGTGGTACTGCAGGATAAAGCACTGAACTGCAAGGAAGGCTTGAACCACAAGGTCAGCAGTTCAAACTCACTAGATGCTCCCTCGAAAACACTATACAGGGTAGCTATGAGTTGAAACTGACTCGAAGGCACTTCACAATAGCAATCTTACTGTCCCTCAAAACTTTGTCCTAGTAGACATTGTTTTTTGTTGTTGATTTTTCCCTTGAGTTTGATTCATCTTTTGTGAAAAAAAAACAAAAACAAAAAACAACGGGGACAATAATACCTATTTGGGACGTTGCTGTGAAGATTTAATTAGTACCTGTAAAGTACCTAGCCTAGTGTCTACTGCACAGAGTAAGAGCTCCTTTCACAATTTGAACATGCTAAAAAAGTATGGGGGAACTTGATCTTCTTATGCCACTTCCTCTTTTCATTTGATGGCTTTGTGCATAATGTTGTTGTTATGTGCCGTCAAGTTGGTTCTGACTCATAGCAACCCCTGTATAGGGTTTCCAAGGAGTGGGTGCTTGAGGTCAAGTCCTTATCCGAGGGTGCCACACCAGGACTCCTTCAAATTCTGTCATTCCACATGAATTCTTCAATACTTAGTTTAAAATGTATCCCCAGACTATCCTGATTGACCCCCATCATTCCTGAACCAGTCTATGTTATTTTGTATTCACTTATTACTGTTCTGACATTCTAGGTGCCCCAGTAGAAGGTCAGGTCATCATGGATTTTGAATATACCATGATGGGCACTCAGTAAGTGATGCTAATGACTACTGGCTGATGTGCATACGTTACCTGGGAAGGGACGTTTTTGGGTGGCTCAATTCTAATGGAGGGGTCCCATTCTCCTGGAGGGAGTACTGTCACCTGGTCCAGGAACTCATCAATCCCTGCCAGGAGGTCATCTCTCTCTTTTGCCTTATATGCCACATCATGAAAAATCTACAGCAAAAAAAACACACAAAATCTTAGGAAAGTTGAAAGTAACTTTACTTAAAACTGACATGGTGAAGGATGGATACAATCTTTTGATTTTTATCTCTATCACAGGGATTGATATATGGGAAAACTGAACACTTAAAGAAGTACAAGAAAAAAAATGGATAAAAGGATTCTTTTTTAAAGGAACCTGGGATGAGATAGATGAAAAAGAACTAAATTATGTCTGTCAGTGTAAGTGGAGATGATGTGACTCTAATGTTGTACATTTCTAAAATCTTCTAAAAGAATGGAACAGAAAGCAAGATGCATGCAGAATTTTCCTGATTACAATTCTCTATCTAAGAAACCTCCCAACCAAAGAGAACTTATAAAACACAGCCTCATGTCCCTCTGTTACTGGAGACACCTGCATCAGAAGCCTGATTTTGCGCTCACGTGAGCAAGGCAATTCCCATCAGGGTATGTATGCATTGTGGGTTCTGTACCATGTTCCTGTTGTTAAGTGCTGTCAAGTCAGTACCGATTCATAGCAAACCTGAATAGGGTTTCCAAGGGGCAGCTGATGGGTTTGAACTGCCAACTTTGCAGGATCCTATAGCACCACACCAGAACCCCATGGGCAGCCAAAATGTCTAGTTACTTTGGTGTGGACATGTAAGGAGATTCGGATACCTGGTCCTGATACTAGTCTCATTTACACGTAACAGGAAGGAGTTTTCCTCATGTAAACAGCTTGTTTTTGTTTTTTTGTCAGGTGCCATCCACTCAGTTCTGACTCATAACGACCCTATACACCACAGAAAGAACCAGAAAACACTGCCTGGTCCGGCACAAACCTCACAATTGTGGTTATGTTTGAGCCCATTGTTGCTGTCGTTGTGTCAATCCATCTTTTGGAGGGTCTTCCACATTTTTCCTGATTTTACTAAGCATAATGCCCTTCTCTAGGAACTGGTTCTTCCTGACAACATGTCCAAAGAACAAGAGAGGAAGTCTCACCATCCTTACTTCAAAGGAGCATTCTGGCTCTACTTCTACCAAGACAGGTTTGTTTGTTCTTCTGGAAGTCCAAGTTGTTGTTGTTGTTGTGTGCCGTGGAATTGCTTCCGACTCATAGTGACCCTACACAGGGTTTCTAAGGCTGTAAATCTTTACAGGAGCAGACTGCCTCATCTTTCTCCCGCGGAACCGCTGGTATTTTCGAACTGCTGACCTTGCCGCTCACAGCCCGATTCATAACCACTACGCTACCAGAGTACTTTCAATATTCTTTGCCAACACTGTAATTCAAATGCATCAATTCTTCTATGGTCTTTCTCATTCATTGTCTGACTTTCACATGCATAAGACATAAGCAAAAATACCCTCGCTTGGGTCAGGCACACCTTAGTCCTCAAAATGACATCTATGTACTTTAACACTTTAAAAAGATCGTTCGCAGATTTGCCTAATGCAATACATCATTTGATTTATTGACTGCTGTTTCCATGAGCATTGCTTGTGGATTCAAACAAAATGAAGTCTATCGTTTCTTTATTACGATGTTAATTATTGGTCTAGTTATGAGGATTTTTGTTTACTTTACATTGAGATATAATCCACATGTAAGTCTTTGATCTTTATCAGTATTTCAAGTCCTCTTCATTTCCACCAAACAAGGTGTATTATCTGTATCACAGGTTGTTAACGGCTCTTCCTCCAACCCTGATGCCACATTCTTCTTCACATAATCCAGTTTCTCAGATTATTTGCTGAGACTGAAAGAGTACAGTGCAAGGATGCAACCCTGATGTACATCTTTCCTGATTTTAAACCATTCAGTGTTCCCTTCTTCTACTAAAACAAACTGCCTCTTTGTCTATGTATAGATTCCTAGTGTCTACATTTAAGTGTTCTGGAATACTCGATCTTCACAATGCTATATCCATAGTTTGTCATGATCCACACAGCTTTTGCACAGTCAGTAAAGCACAAGTAAACATCTTTCTGGTATTCTCTGCTTTCAGCCAAGATCCATCTGACATCAGCAGTGATATCTCTCATCCCATGTCCTCTTTATGAATCTGGCTTGAATTTCTGGAGCCCCCTTACAATGTGCTGTTGTCACCATTTTAGAATTATCTTCAGCAAAATTTTACTTGCATGTAATAGTAATGATATTGCTTGATGATTTCTGAATTCCATTGGGTCATCTTCCTTTGGAATGGGCACAAATATGGATCTCTTCCAATCAGCTAGCCAAGTTGCGTTCTTCTAAATTTCTTGACCACCTCCAGTACCGCAACAGTTTGGTGAACATTTCAATTTGTATTCTGCCATTTTCTGAAAGCATGTTTTTTGCCAACACTTTCAGAGTAGTTTCTTCCTTCAATACCATCAGTTCTTGATCATATGATACCTTTTGAAATGGCTGAACATTAACCAACTCTTTTTGGTACAGCGACTCTCTGTATTCCTCCTATCTTCTTTTGAGGCTTTCTGTGACATTCAATATTTTGCCCATGTTGCTGTTATTAAGTGCTATTGAGTTGGTTCCAACCCATAGCAACCCTATGCAGGGTTTTTGAGGAGTGGCTGATGAGCTTGAACCACCAACCTTGTGAATCAAACTGACTTTGCAGTGCAGCGCATTAATCCACAGTGCCACACCAGGACTACAGCACCCTTCAATATTGTAACCTAAGACTTAACATTTTTTCTTCAATTCTTTCAGCTTGAGAAATGCTAAGAATGTTCTTTCCTTTTGGTTTTCTAACTCTAGGTCTTTGCACATTTCATGATAACATTTACCTTCCTAAGTTGCCCTTTGGGAAGTTTTCTGTCCCGGTCTTTTATGTCATCATTTCTTCCAGTCGCTTGAATTTCTTTACATTCAAGAGCAAGGTTCAGGGTCTCTTCTGACATTCACTTTAGTCTTTTTTCCCTTTCCTATTTTTTTCAGGACCTTTTGCTCTCTTAGTGTATAATGTTCATGATGCCATCTTCAGGTTTTTGGTCATTAGTGTCTAATGCATCAAATCTGTTCTTGAGATGGTTGCTAAATTCAGGTGGGATAAAGGTTATAATTTGGTTCCTGTTGATTTGTTTTACCTTTCTTCAGCTTTAGCATGAACTTGAATATGAGTTAATTGATGGTTTGTTCCACAGTGGGTCTCTGGCTTCATTTTGGCTGGTGATATTGAACTTCTCTACCATCTCTTCCCACAGATATAATCAATTTGATGCTGATGTATTTCATCTAGTGAGGTCTACATGTACAGTCACCATTTATGTTGTTTAAAAAACTCTTTGCAATGAAGAAGTCATTGGTCTTGGAAAATTCCATCATGCCATCCCTGGCATCATTTCTATTACCTAAACCATATTTTCCAACTACTGATCCTTTCTCTTTGTTTCCTTTTTTTTTTTTTTTTTTTGGCTGGATAGTGTAATTTATTGATGGTACATGACAAGACTGGGCTCTCTAAGCCCCTCCCCCCCTTCTCCACGGGGTCTGGATGGAAACAGGATGGGAGCTTCTTAGTGTGTAGGGGGATTAGAGTTGGGCTAAGGACTCCCAGCAGCTGACGGCCTCTCTCTTCCTCTAGTGCTGTTGCTGGGGCTGGTGGTCCAAGGGGCTCTTATTCTTTGGAGGCCATGTGGACCATAAGATCCACCACCCTGTTGCTGTAGCTGAATTTATTGTCATACCAGGAAATGAGCTTGACAAAATGGTCATTGAGGGCAATGCCAGCCCCAGCATCAAAGGTGGAAGAGTGGGTGTCACTGTTAAAGTCACAGGAGATGACCTGGTCTTCAGTGTAACCCAGGATGCCTTTTAGGGGTCCATCTGATGCCTGCTTCACCACCTTCTTGATGTCATCATATTTGGCAGCTTTCTCCAGGCGACAGGTCAGGTCCACAACAGACATGTTAGGAGTGGGGACACAGAAGGCCATGCCTGTGAGTTTCCTATTCAGTTCAGAGATGACCTTGCCCACAGCCTTGGCAGCACCAGTAGATGCAGGGATGATGTTCTGGGCAGCCCCACAGCCATCAAGCCACAGTTTCCCAGAGGGGCCATCCACAGTCTTCTGGATGGCAGTGAAGGCATGGACTGTGGTCATGAGTCCCTCCACGATGCCAAAATTGTCATGGATGACCTCGGCCAGGGGGGCCAAACAGTTGGTGGTGCAGGAGGCATTGCTGATAATCTTAAGGGAGCTATCATACTTCTTGTGGTTCACGTCCAACACAAACATGGGGGCATCATCAGAAGGGGCAGAGATGATTACCCTTTTGGCACCACCCTTCAAGTGAGTCCCAGACTTCTCCAAAGTTGTGAAGACACCGGTGGACTCTACAACATATTCAGCACCAGCATCACCCCACTTGATGTTGGTGAAATCTCGCTCCTGGAAGATAGAGGTGGACTTCCCATTGATGATAAGTTTCCCGTTTTCAGCCCTGACAGTGTCATTGAACTTGCCATGGGTGGAATCATACTGGAACATATATACCATGTAGTTGAGGTCAATGGAGGGGTCGTTGATGGCCACAACCTCCACTTTTCCAGAGTTAACAGTAGCCCTGGTGACCAGGCACCCAATACGGCCAAATCCGTTGACTCCGACCTCCACCATCCTGTCTCAGGGATGTGGCTGGTACTGCAAGAGAAGCTGCGGCTGCCTGTCGAACGGGGAGGAGCAGAGAGCCTGTTTCCAATTTTTGCATTCCAATCACCAATAACTATCGGTGCATCTTGTTTGCACATTTGATCAATTTCAGAACGAAGAAGTTAATAGAATTCTTAACTTTTTTTTTTCTTTCAATTTTGGCTGTAGTGGTTGGTACGTGAATTTGAATAACAGTCATATTAACTTATTTTCCTTGCGATTGATTTGATTGTGAAGTGCCGTCGAGTCGATTCCGACCCATAGCGACCCTGTACAGTGTATGAAATATCCTATCAAAAACAGCATCACACTTCAAGATAGATCTTAAAAAGCTCTTTCTGACATGAATGAGGCATCATTCCTCTTGAATTTGTCATTTCCAGCATAGTAAACCATATGAATGTCCAATTCAAAATGATCAATACCAATCCATTTCAGCTCACTAATACCTAGGATAGCAATCCTTATGCATTCCATTTAATTTTTTATGACTTCCAATTAAATAGCGTGGGTGTATTTAATTAACCCTCCTCTCTAGAAAATTAAATCGGCCTTAATGTATCCTCCTTGGCAATAATAATTTTCCCAGAAAAAGCTTTCTCTGCTTCCTTGTTTACTCAGCATAGGAAGAAAATTCCCTCACAGGGCTTGGTCCCCTCTCTAAAATAGCCTCTCAGAAACATGCCTGAACTGCTTCCCAGAAGTCACTGAAATTGTAATTATTTTATCCCCGATATCTACACAGTGGCTGCCATAGAGTAAACATTCAGTGAGTATTTATGGGATGAATGATTGAAAAACAGAAGTGGGGCATACCTCATCTGTCATGATGGTGGCCATAGATCTGCCAATCTCATGGTACTGCTGACCTTTCCCTACTGGGCCCAATAAAATAAACAAAAACCTGGACAACACACACAGAGAAAGACTATATGAGTAAACATTAATAAGCAGCATCTTATTCCTCTCTAATCAGCAGAACATTTCTCTTTCCCATCAAACAGAATCATTGCTGTACCTTCAATAAATGGAAGCATACTAATAATGGAACAATATGAGTTGCCTTGACCTAAATCCGTTATGAGCATAAGAAACTACTGGTCTGACACCATTCAATAATGTGGCTACATTTCTGAGGGTTTCCATAGGCATACTTCCTTGGTAGAGAAAGAAGAGTTTTTTCAAAACGTAGCATTTTTATTGTAGCGCAAACTCAAGGTTATCTGAATCTCATCCATTGCTCTAATAAGAAAATGACGGGGGAGGAGAACACTAAAGAAATTGAAATGATTAAGCCTCATAGAGGAGTCTAAATTACGTTCTGGACGTAAGAATACTCTGCAATTAATGGGGCTTTGAATCACCTGCATCACTGGAGAACAGGATCAGCCTTTTGAATAAATAGGGACTTATTTGAAAACTATACAAACCCAGCCATAGCCCTGTGGGAAGACAGAGACACAAATACCTTTACGCTCAGAGATGCTGCCTTGGGATGTGGCTCTATAAATCTGCAAGAGTTGACTTAATTAGGCTTACCATCATAACACATTGGCTCCTGTCCTAGTACGGCACTGTAGGCTAAGCAGTGGAAAGCAAGGTCAGCAGCTGAAACCCACCAGGTTGAAAACCACCAGGTCGGCTCCTCAGAAACCCTACTCAGGGTCGCTATGAGTCATAACTGACTTAACAGCACTTAACAACAATAACAGCATGTTCTTTTAACAATCCCCAGTTCTCCACTTCAAAGGCTATAGGTACTACGCAGTCCACATAATTCTCCTGTGTGGTGGTGAAATAAATATATTCCAGTTTTCTGCGTTTATACAGCATTCTCAAAATTAATTATCCTAAATGTTGGTATTAAGCTAGTTTCTCTCACCAAAGCCCACATAAACCTGGACTTTAGCAAGAATGTACTAGGTTTGGCTATCTTTGTCTTTACCTTGTTGGGATTGGCACTTCAGTGAGGCCTGAGAGAAGAACAGCTGGAGACAGTCTCACAAAAGCAATGATGGGGCGGTCCAGAGTAGCCACCTCTCCTACCAGGACATTTGAGGCCTCTGCCCCAGTGGGAATTTTTTTCATGAAATGAAGGTCTACCTGAAAGTCCAAAATAACCCTTTGAGTGGAAGCCATCACCTCAAACCAATCTTCCTCCTCTTCGTATATATTCAGAACAACATTTTATAGCTTATAAAATGTTTCCTAATATTATCACATTTGATCCTCACAATAACCTGGACAAGACATGTCTGATTAGCTTCACTTAAAAAAAAAAAAAAAAAAATCTGACTTGAATTCCCTAACACCATGCTTTCTCAAATAGCAGTGCTTTTGAAGTTTTGGGTCAAATTCTTTCTGTTTTCAAATCTTCCACTGTTTTATTGGAGGTTTCAGGTTTGTTTGTTTGTTCACAATAAAAAGGGAAGCCTTAAGAGTAGTGTCATGACACTTTGTGTTTTGGAAAATTAGTGTCGAGGGTAAATCACAGCAAGGAGGACAAAAGAACCAGCAACAAGAGGCACTACTTGTGTGAAGGCCTTGGATGCCAAGGTCACAGTTCCCAAAAGAGTCTCAACTACAGGAGCGGGTGGGTAGGAAGCAATAGCAAAAATATTATTTTGGCAAAACCACTGGAAGTTAGAAGCTGCAGCTAGAGAGCAAGTGTCAAAAAATAAGGGAGAAGAGCGGAGAGCGGGACCCTACCCAGAGAAGCAGTGATGCCTGAGATGGAGGCAGAGACGATGACGTGGAGAGACGGAGCAGTTGGGGACTTTAGACACAGAGAGGGAGAGGGACTGTGTGCTGATGACCGGGGGCAGGCTTACAGAGTATATATACCCTTTGGTTGGCTGATGATGCATGGAGGGAATTGTAACCATGGCAATGAAACGATATATGATAGGATGAATGTAAAGCTAATGTTCTCCCATGTAAACTATCACATAATTCACAATAAAATATTAAAAAAAAAATTAGGGAAAAATTAGGATATCGTTGTCAAGGACGGCTAGTCTCTGTTTTGTCATGTTGGATATGGAGGAATACACTAGTGAGGAGAAGGGAACAGGCTGGAGTAGAAGGAAGAAAACATGAGGAGAGGGACCTCCTTTTCTGAAGGAGAAAGGGTCTTGAAATACCAAATCTTAGCCAGCTTCTCACAATTGGACTCCAGGTTATAAGCCAATCGCCATGTTTCTGTTCACCTTGCTCAAATCCACAGGGCTGTGTTCACAATTCACTCCATTTTTTACTTCAAGATTTGTAGTTGGAACAGACTGAGGAGACAACGTTTGACCTATATGGAAAAAATGAAACAGAATTTTCTGAGTCCCTGTCTTTTCTCCTTCTGGCCATGCCATCCCCCAACAGTTGGCTATGACTATGAAGCCAGGAGCTTCATACCTAGCTGCTTGCCAAGTCATTAGGGTTCAAAGGATACAGAGGTCTCATTTCTTCTGTCCTTAGTTCATGACCCTCTTTTCTGTGTCTATGAAGGCAGTAATCCTTAACCAGAAAGGTATATATATCAGAGAACCCTATTGTGGTGAATCAAATGTAAAGTCTAGATTCCCAGGCATATCTTCTGCACATTGTGATTCAGTAAATACAGAGGTTAGACCCTGCCTGGTCAAGGAAAGAGAGCTGGCTAATTGGCAGCTGAAATTCATTGAGTGTTTTTAACCACCATGAGTCACATGCTAAGGACTTTACATGGATTTACTCATTGAAGTCTCACAATAATGGAGTAGGTCCTATTAGCATCACACTTAACAAGTGGTGAAACTAGAATGTCAAAACTAGACATATGACTCAAGAGCTGTACTACTGTATTTTGTTCCCTTCTAAGATCCTAAGTGGGAGAAAGATGAGGCTGTCTGCTCCCACAAAGATATACAGCCTTGAAACTCTACAGGGTGAATGTGAGTCAGAGCCAATTTGACAGCACTTAATAACAACAACAAAGCTCTTTTTAAAAGACTCTGGTGGCATAGTTGGTTGAGCATGGGGCTACTAAATGCAAGATCAGAAGTTCAAACCCAGAAGCTACTCTGAAGAAGAACAATGAGGCTGTCTGCTCCCAAAAGATTTAGTCTAGCCTTAGAAGCCCGATGGAGTAGTTTTACCCTGTAGTGTAAGGTCACTATGAGTTGGAATCAACTTGATGGCAGTGGGTTTTGGGTAAGGTCCTACAAAAAACTACATTTGGTCTGAAAAGCTCCAGCTGACCTTTCTGGCCCCAAATTGTCCCCACTGTAGAAATCTCCCAAAAGCCATGCTAGTTTTGAGGCTACCCTGGGGCACAAGTCCTTCATTTTGAGTTCACTGAGGATTGTTTGAGGTGTGCAACCTTGATGCCACCCATTTTACCAATGCCCCAAAAGGACTAAGTATTTAAATTGGCACGGAAACATATTAGACAAATATAGCCCCTGCCTACTAGTAACTCAGCTTCTCTGATTATGTCTCAAATGTCTCATTTGTAAAGACAGAGAACACTCAAGTTGTAAACTCTTACCATTTTTATCCATTGAATGTGGATCCGACTGCTTCTTGCCAACCTCAGCAAAGGAGCGAACAATGGGAATGAGGTTATTTCTCTTCTTCTCATTCTGATGATGATGCTTTTTGAGAAGGGCTTCCCGCACTTTAATCCTCATGCTGTCATCCAGGTCACTGGAGAGTTCTTGCTGGTCCAGGATCAGGTCTGCAAAGTGGACACTAACTTGAACACTCAGACTGAGGGTCAATGATTGCAAGGATACCAAAGTCAGGAGTGTGGGTATGAGGGGCACAGCATGGGGGAAGCATTTCCACCTGAGCCACAGAGTTGCAATTTTAGCTTCAGTGTCTGAAAGAGCTATGCAATGATAGCATCTGTGAAAACTTATCCTTTAATCATGTAATAAATCATTATTATTAGGGATAGAAACTATTGAGCATTTACTATGTGCAAGGAACTACACTTTACATATATGCTCTGTTGTTTGTGTTTAGTGCCATCAAGTCAGTTTCAACTCAGCGACCCTGCACAGGGTTTCCGAGGAGCAGCTGATGAGTTTGAACGCCAATCTTGCAATTCAAACTGACTTTATGATCAAGTTCGTATCCTACAGCATCACACCAGGACTCCATATATTATCTAATCCCATAACAATCATGAGAATAACATATTATCATAATAATTATTATACATAGGAAAATTGAGGCCCAAATAGTTACCAAATTGCCCAAAGTCACACAACTAGTAAGCCACAGAGGTGGAATTCAAACCCTGGACTGTCTGACTGGGAAACCCACCTTATTACCCACTTTGTTTTGCCATTGGCCAAACTTCCCCTGTATTCCTCTCCTCTAACATTTTAACATTGCTGAGAGTGTTAAGGGAAACTGTAACTGTAAACCTCAAAATGAGTCTTTGAAGGTGGAAACCTATAAGCATAATTAAGTTAACTGACCACTCACGGCCAAAATCATCAGCCTTTAACCTGTCTACCCCAGCAGAGTTGAGGGAGAAAAAAATCCAAATACTAGGCAGATGGCACACTGGTTAAGACTATGGGATCTTGAGCTAAAGATCCACTTTCTATCCCAGTCCTACCACTTGCTAACTGGGTGACCTGGGCAAGTTATATACCTCACTGTTTCTCAGTTTCCTCATCTGTAATATGAAGAGAATAATATCACCTACTTCAGGGGTTGTTGTGAAATAGATAATATTAATATTATTAATGAGAGAATGTATAAAATGAATGAGAAATAATTTAATGAGATAATGTATATAAAAATTGTGATTTACAATAAACACTTGATACAGTTTACCTTATCACTAACATTATAAAGACATTAGATACCTAATGTGAAGAATCTTAGTAGTTTTACTTCAGTCCCATTGACCTACCCCTAAGTTTCCCCCAAACCCTAACACATATTCTCAACTTCTAACTCCATCCATGTCTAGCAAAGGCTAGAAGTAATGAATAAGGATCCAGAATTCTGTAACTCTAGCCTTTATACTAATTTCAGGATCTTTCCTCTTGGGGAGACACAAGTAGAAAAACCAAAGACCAGAAGAGTTGTGGGATGACATCAAGAATATCATACATGAAGAAAGCAAAAAGTCATTAAGAAGATAAGAAAGAAGGAAAGGTCAAAATGGATGTCAAAAGAGACACTGAAATGTGCTCTCCAGCATAGAGATGCTAAAGCAAATGGAAGAAATGAGGAGGTTCAAGAGCTGAACAGAAAATTTCAAATATCAGCTCGAGAAGATAAAGCCAAATATTACAACAAAATGTGCAAAGATCTGGAATCAGAAAACAAAAAA